AATCTATGCAGGAGGTTATTGCAGAGAGTTTTTAGAACAAGCTCTTAAAAGCGTAGAGTCCCTTGCTGCTCCTGAAGGCACTTTATGGCACTTAGTATAAATCATAGAATCCAAAGAGTTTAGGTTGGAACGGACCTTCACAGGTCATCTAGTCCAACCCCCCTGCAATTAATGAAATCAGAACTGTAGATTTGAATGCAGGTAGAGTTTAGTTTTAAGCAATTCCTTTTCCCTTTGGAAAAGGAAAATCCCTTCTGAATGTTAGATATGATCAGGTGGTTTATTATACAAGTTGTTAGTAAACCTGCTTTATTTTTCTCATACTACAGTCACAGTTGACATATGTCATTCAGATATAGGCAAGATTAAGCAACAAGTCATGCTAACTTTCCTTGAGCCAAATTTTGAGATTGTCACTAATTTTAACTGACCCTTACAGTACTCTCTGAGGTCAGCAGAAGTAAGGGCTACCTAAAAATTCCATTTGCTGCATCATCTCACAAACAGTACTGGTTCCTTGTTGAACCTGCAGGAGAGCTCATTCTGAGCTGTACTTACCCACACTGAAGTACTGAAAAACTGAGAAGCCCTTGTTAGAATGCAGAAAATGTATGTTATTGCGGACACTGTGCTGTGGCACAAAAAATTGTCAGTATATGAAGAATCCTATTTTCTTAATTAAATAGAAATTGCCAAGAGTTCAATTTAACTAGAGCAAAGAAACATAGACAGTTGGATCAAATATGTGTGTGTTCAGTACGAATAGAAGAAGTCTGGAAAAAATGTTGAAACTGAAGTTACTAGTTATAAATGAGATTGTTGATATAACAGGCATATTAGAAACTTAGTAGAAGAATAATCAATGTGACAGGCACATAGCGACAAATTACATGGGAAAGACAGGTGAAGTCATGGCTGTCAAAGAGCAGATTTTTTTGTCTTGAAGTAAACAGCGTAAAATCTTATAGATTGGCTACATCACAAAAGCAAACAGTTCCTGCAGATTGAAATCACAAGATTAAATAGGAAAAATAGAACTGTAGCAGCACATGACTGGAGTACAGTGTTGGGGCTGTACTACTGACTGTCCTACCTAAATAGTGGCATTGCCTGTGACAGCCTAACAAGATCAAACAGGGCCTGAAGACATAAATGCAGTAACAGTGGGAAACGTCATTTACCAAGCTGAGATTGAGTAAATGGGCTGGGAGAGGGGTGATTCTGAGTAAAATTGTAGGGGATTTAAATAATTGCTTATATAGAGGCTATTTGTTTATCTAGATAAAAAAGAAAGAAATTCTAAATAATTCTAGGACCTGGTCTTAATGACAGAAAGACCTGGTTCAAAATACAGCTAGAACCTCTGCTTAACAACAATTAATGCATTTAGATGCAGTATTCTGCAAAAAAAAAAAAGAAGGGGGGGGAATCTCCCATGGCAGTGTTTAACTTCAAAGAGGAAACTATGTGAAAATATGAAAACTGTTTAAAAAGAAAGAGAGCCAAAATTTAAAATGTTTATAGGAGTAATGAAAATTGTTTAAATATGGGGGCTCACTGCAAGCCAACTTCCAGAAAAAGGCTTTAAAAGACAAAAAAAAGCTTTGCATAGCTAAACAGCAGGGTGAATGAGGAAGAGGATGCCTCTTATTAAAAGGACTTCTTTTATTAGAAGCAAAAGGGCTTTCTTCAAGTTGAAGTTGTGCCTAAATGAGGAAAATACACCATAAACAAATTAAATATATGAACAAAGTAAGGCTTTTTGAGAACAAAGTAAATACATAAATAAAGTGAGATTTTTAAGAACAACTTGGCAAAAACTGCTAGTAAAGCCATTTTCAAGACGTCTTTAAGTAAGTAAAATCCTGACAGAAACTCTACAGGACTAATCAATGAATAAAGTAGGGAAGGTATTTAGGGACATGCCCATTCTGGCATATTTCTCTGTCAAGAACACATCAGGAGATTTGTCACCAATAAAAGTGTTATAAGAAGAGGTTTCAGAAGAAACTGGCAACAATGAATAGTAAAAAAAAATACCAGGACCAGACTGTATCCATGAAGTTAACTGAAGTACAAAACTCTCAAGCCAGGAATGATGGTGTAATGTTTAAAAGCTTCCTTGTTGGAAAAAAAAATTGAGGTGGTAATATGAAACCTAATCTGAGAAACTGGTATAAGCTGCAACACTTCCTAGGTCTCCTTCTAAATCATTATATTTATGGGTAAGTATGATAGAAAGGGGAAGAATTGGCATAGATTTCATAGAGGAACCCAGAATCTCTAACATTTCTTTGAAAAAGTAACAACATATGAACAAAGGCGATCCATTTGATAGAAGTTAGTTGGTCTTCCAAAACTCATTTGAGCATGTCCTTCATCAAAGGCTCTTGAAGAAATTTAAGTATCATAGTGTAAGGCATACAGGTCTCTCAGTAATAACTGATTAAAAAATAAGAAACAAAGAAAAAACTATGTCCTCAGCTTAGGAAGCTCCAGGAGCTGCTGCTGTTTAAAAGCTGCGATAACATCCTAAGGGAGAACCAGCACATGCTTGCCTTTTATGCTCTTCCCTCAGCAGCTGCAATTGTTGTCTCTGAGAGATAAATTGCAGGGGTAGGTGAATCTTTGATCTCACCTGGTGCAGCCATTGTATTTGCTTTAATGAAACATGACTGACTGCACAGTTGTTATTACAACTGTTCCTAATTATGCAGATCCAACCTGTATTTTATTTGTAGCTCTGTATTAAAAAACAACCAACCAAGAGCTTCGTTTGTTAGTATTATTCAGTCATGGGGCTCTGATTGATGAGTGGAGAACGGGTGGGATGAACCAGCCTGTAAATCCATCCTTCAGCCCTGCCCTGCTGTGTGGATGTCTGCTTTGCTAACTACTTCAGCTTGTAGGGTGGGAGTGATGACTGCCTTGCGCAAGATCAGTGCTCTATAACACAGAGTCCTTATTGCCTGGACAACATTCTAGGTATGTTTTTTGTACAAACAAACATCGTATTTATTGTTATTTGTGGGTTTTAGATGGGCACTGCCTATGTCTTTCCTTTGTATCATCCCAGCTCTTTTGTATCTCTTCTTTTGCTTACTACTGAATGCTTACTGGGTTAATGCCATGCTTCTTCCATTGCTTCTTCCATTCCTCCTCATCCCAATACATGACCTCTGAAGTAGATGGTCCTAGGAAAAGACTTCATCCATGCTTTCTAGCTATTTATTTTGTTTAAAACAGATTATAACTGGTCTTGAGGGAGAAGACTTGGTTTTACTAGTTGTTTGATTTTAAGCATTTTGCTACCAAAATGGCTTATTTTGGTTTTAAGGATTTTTTTTTTTTTAATTCCTGTTTTTAAAATAGTGTAATGCATTTGGAATACACATTGTAAGCATATAATTCTCAGGTGTTGGCATCATTTGGTTTCTGGTGTAATTTCAGCAGAACTATTTCTGCAAAATTTTGAGAATACATTGCTACATCCCATCTCTTAGAGTATTTTAGAAGGTTTCTGACAATCTGATCTGGAATCTCTGGCACTTAAAAAAACAAATTGATTTTGCTGATGATTTTCTTTTTTTCTTTGTATTTGTTGCACCTAATTCTGATTTTCAGGAAATTAGTGCAAAATTACATTTATTTTAATGCAAAAGTGATAAGGTCTTCTTTAAATTTATTCTCTTTTTTTTTTCCTCCTATTTTGTCAGAGCACCATTTAAGTCAGTTTCTGTACTTCAAACGCAAGACTAGTCCCTTTTGATTTTAATGAGGACATATCTCTTCAGCAGTTATCAGTCACAAGTTCTGAAAATGACTGGGTGTATGAAAGAAATTGTAAGTCTTGAGTGAAGAATTGAAGAGAGGATATAGAGATTAGCTAGTGGGTTGAAGATCTTTTGTAGCAGTGGGCAGGCTGCATAGGTCTGTGCCACTGCTTGCATGAAAAGCATGTGATCTCATACAATTCCAACATTATAAATCCAGATTAATCTTTTTCAGTCATTTATTACAAGTTATATGATATTGACCACCAGCATTCCTTGGTTTCATTTATTTGAATTAGGTATGTTTTTTAGGAAAAATCACTAATTTTAGTTTTAAAGTTGCTGTAGTGGGAAACACATCAAACCCATGGTAGCAAACTGTTAGGTATTTTAGGCAGGTTTTATCCCATTTAATATCCAATAATTATTAAATGAATAATTTAATAATTTTTAATTTCTTTTGTTCTAGTTTCTCAGTCAGAAATGTCATATAGCATTAGATAAATGGCTATGACATATGCCATACACAAATATTAATGGTGCAGAAGCGGCAAGCTGGTGATCTGAGAGTTAACAACGTGTAATGGACTTGTCTGTTGTCAGGAGAGCAGCAAAGACAGATTTGCCCATTTCCTGTTCAGTGAGCCAGAGCAATGATGTGAAGTCCTTGATTCCCATTGAAAAGTGACTGAAGGCAAAAATTTCTGGTGCGACCAATGCTGTCAGCACTAATAGAAGCGCAGCGACAAACACTGGAACAGTTTTTAAATCATCAGCAGAGACTTGCCTGGGAGCCTGAGTGAGGTCTGCTAAAGAAAGATACTCCACCACTATTACTGTTGTTTTAATTTAGCTTCCTGGGTATCACTGATCATTCTGGAATGGCTTGAATGGACAACATGAAGCTAGAGGTTAGCTGAAGGCCAGGCCCTTTTGATAAGGTGAGATAACAGGAAAGAGCTCAAGTGAGAAATTTCTTTGGAAGTCTCTGCTAGCAGATTTTTGTATACAGAGGTACCACAAAAGGGTAGAAAATTAATATTAAGGTAGATCTGGAAATAGATAACAATATAACAGTATTTTGTCATATAGTTATACTTCCCTGATACTCATGGTACTGAAAAGAACATGGGCAATGGACAAAATGTGAATGTTGAGATCTTGATATCACAGGCTATGTCGAGGCCTAATTACAATAATGTTTTTCTTTATAATTTCTTTGTATAGGTGGAAAATGTTCGGTTACTTGATCGTTTATCTTCAAGAAAAGCTGCCCTAGGAACCTTGTATTTAACAGCTACTCATGTTATATTTGTGGAGAATGGTTCTGAAGCTCGGAAAGAAACCTGGGTATGAATTTTTGGGTTTTGTTTTTCAGTTAGCTGTAAGTGCATGTCACTTTATTGATGGTAGTTTTAACAAAACCTTGCAAAACAGTTGAAGCACAATAAGTCAGTTCATATGGATGCCTTTATAACTTTATAGCATGTGAAATTCCAGCCTAGTAATTTTTGAAAGTTTTCCATGGATTCTGGATATTGCAATACAGTAAAAGGAGTAGAAGGACCTTCACCATATGTACACCAGATGTGATTGACTGAGGAACAGCTGCTGTGAACTAGTATTGCTTCTATCATCCAAGAAGAACAGAAGGAGAAACGCTTTGAATGGGAATTGCTGCCATTGTTCAGCTGGCTCTTGCCTCTCTCCCTGACTGCTTGTGCTGGATCAGTGGTTTTGCTGTTTGGTTTTGGGGCTTTCGGGGCATAGTGCAGAGTGGGATACTATACAATTTCTTTGCACAGTATTTTGAGTTATCTGTTTTGAGGGACTGATAACATATGTTGCATGTGTGTGTATATGTATATATACAGATATAGCTCTGGTGTTACAATTTTTGAGAGGTTTTTTATGTAGCTTAATTATGAATCCTTTGTCAATTTTCTTGCTAATTATTAACCCTGTCCTCTTTTGGTCCCACTATTCCTCTCCTGATTTTTATGGTAATGTTTCATCTCATCTAATGCAGTGTTTAAAATTACATCAGGACTCCCATTCTGCCAAAGAGGATGCTCAACATTTTAGCCTTATCTGATCAGTTCATCTTGTCACGGTGCAGACAGATGAAAAGAGTTCTTCTGCTGACAACTGCTAGCTTGCAGTAAAGCAAACAAACAAAAAGCTTTGGATAGCATGCGCAGGCTAATGTTTGAGCAGCTGAAAAACTCCAGAAACACTTCTTAGTCTGTAGGTAATTATCAGGCACTGCTTAAGCCTGAAGCTGAAGATAGGACCAAAAGTTCACAAGGAGGAGTCTGGTGATTTCCTGAAAGAGTAGTTTTGAGAAGCTACTGTGCCTGCCCTGGCACATCATTATAAATAACTGTTTTCCTTCCTAAAGATTCGAATCACTTGGCATAACCATTTTCAATTCCCTCGCAGGTTCTTCACAGTCAAATTTCCTCTATTGAGAAGCAGGCTACCACTGCTACTGGTTGCCCATTGCTGATCCGCTGCAAGAACTTCCAGGTCATCCAGCTGGTCATCCCTCAGGAACGAGACTGCCATGATGTTTACATATCTCTGATACGTCTGACACGACCAGGTAGGGGAAGGAAACTGCCCTGAAAGTCAATCCTCATCCTGAAGAGAAAGAATGTAGCTGTGCATCTTTGTCCTTCGCAGGATATGTGCTTTTGTACAGCAAAGCATACTGTTTTAAAAGGAAGTACATGAAATACAATGCCAAGCTCTGTTTTTGAAGTGTGGTTTCAGAATGAGAAATCTGAAGTGGTTTACTGGTTTTGTTTGTTTGCTTTTTCCCCCCCAGTGAAATATGAAGAGCTGTATTGTTTCTCATTCAATCCAAAATTAGATAAAGAAGAACGAGAACAAGGCTGGAAGCTTGTGGACCTCAACAAAGAATATAATCGGATGGGTATTCCAAACAACTATTGGCAGATTAGCGATGTAAACAGAGACTATGGAGTGAGTTGTGATTTTCTGTTATAGAGGCTGTCTGTAAAGTAAAGCAGCAGTCTGGCTGTGGATAACTGTAGTGCTTAGATGCAGGTTTCCATTGTGCTCAGTGCTGTACACACAGGTAGTAAGGCGCAGTTCTTTCACCCTTTCACATAGAAAGACACATATAGCGTGCAAGAAAGGATGTGTCTTCATTTAACACAGAAAACATGTCCACAGTGTTTTAAATGTTAGTGCTTGACTGCTTGGGCAGAGGTTTAAATCATACCTAATGTTACGTGTCTGAATGAATGTTTTCCTGCCATGTAGGGTTATGTAAAACTACTACACAGTCGTTTTAAGAAAAACAATACTTCAAATAGTGAACTTGGCAATATTTTTTCCTCACTAGCAATTCTCACAATCCTTTTGAAGCCTCTGTGAGTGACTGTTCACGTTTTTCAGCCATTTGACAAGTCATGTATCTTCCTAGCTGCCTGCTGTCCTGCCTAGTTCAATCTTGTTCAATTGAAGTCCCTAGAATGTTAATAAATTGCAAGAAATAATAACCAAAGTATTTCTGAAGGAAGTTTATTCATGCACTCCATTGTCTCTGTTGCTGGAGAATATCCATGTTAAGGAGGGCCTGTGAATTTCTCAGAGAAGACTGAATGTGCTATCAGGGTTTGTTTTCTTTTTGTTAAAACAACTGGAAAAAATGTTTGACCTCTTTTAAGATAAAGAGTAGGAAAAATGGCATCGTGAATAAAACCCAGTTCACCACAGCAGCATCTGTAACCACAAGCCCTTCCTTTTCTCCCTCACTCCATATCTCTGACTCTCAGAACCTAATTTCTTCCTGGGCATCCTAATTCATTCAGTCATCTCAGAAAGCCCCAGGGAGATACTGAATATCCTTTTGACCCCAGCCAGAATGCCATAGGCAGATTCAGGAAAAGGAAGTTAGACCAGGACCCCATTTCATAGAATCATAGAATAGTTAGGGTTGGAAAGGACCTTAAGATCATCTAGTTCCAACCCCCCTGCCATGGGCAGGGACACCTCACACTAAACCATCTCACCCAAGGCATCGTCCAACCTGGTCTTGAACACTGCCAGGGATGGAGCATTCGCAACCTCCCTGGGCAACCCATTCCAGTGCCTCACCACCCTAACAGGAAAGAATTTCCTTCTTATATCCAATCTAAACTTCCCCTGTTTAAGTTTAACCCATTACCCCTTGTCCTGTCACTACAGTCCCTAATGAAGAGTCCCTCTCCAGCATCCCTATAGCCCCCCTTCAGATACCGGAAGGCTGCTATGAGGTCTCCACGCAGCCTTCTCTTCTCCAGGCTGAACAGCCCCAACTTTCTCAGCCTATCTTCATATGGGAGGTGCTCCAGTCCCCTGATCATCCTCGTGGCCCTTCTCTGGACTTGTTCCAACAATTCCATGTCCTTTTTATGTTGAGGACACCAGAACTGTACACGATACTCCAGGTGAGGTCTCACAAGGGGCAGGATCACTTCCTTCGACCTGCTGGTCACGCTGCTTTTGATGCAGCCCAGGATACGGTTGGCTTTCTGGGCTGCAAGCGCACACTGCTGGCTCATGTTCATTTTCTCATCAACCAACACCCCTAAGTCCTTCTCCGCAGGGCTGCTTTGAATCTCTTCCCTGCCCAACCTGTAGCTGTGCCTGGGATTGCTCCGACCCAGGTGTAGGACCTTGCACTTGTCATGGTTAAACTTCATAATGTTGGCATCAGCCCACCTCACAAGCGTGTCAAGGTCCCTCTGGATGGCATTCCTTCCCTCCAGCATATCAACCAAACCACACAGCTTGGTGTCATCGGCAAACTTGCTGAGGGCGCACTCAATCCCACTGTCCATGTCAGCGATGAAGATGTTAAACAAGACCGGTCCCAACACCGATCCCTGAGGGACACCACTCATTATTGGTCTCCAGCCGGACATTGAGCCATTGACCACAACTCTTTGTGTGCAGCCATCCAGCCAGTTCTTTATCCACTGAGTGGTCCATCCATCAAATTGATGTCGCTCCAATTTAGAGACAAGGATGTCGTGTGGGACAGTGTCGAACACTTTACACAAGTCCAGGTAGATGACATCAACTGCTCTACCCCTGTCCATCAGTTCTGTAGCCTCATCATAGAAGGCCACCAAATTGGTCAGGCAGGATTTCCCCTTAGTGAAGCCATGCTGGCTGTCACCAAGCACCTTGTTGATTTTCATGTGCCTTAGCATGCCTTCCAGGAGAATCTGCTCCATGATTTTGCCAGGCACAGAGGTGAGACTGACAGGTCTGTAATTCCCTGGGTCATCCATTTTCCCCTTCTTGAAAATGGGGGTTACATTTCCCTTTTTCCAGTCATTGGGAACTTCACCTGACTGCCATGATTTCTCAAATATGATGGCCAGCAGCTTCGCAACTTCATTTGCCAGCTCCTTCAGGACCCGTGGATGGGTCACACTTGTCTCCAGAGGAACTTCTGGACTTTTTTACAGGTTTATTGGGTTCCTTTCAGAAGTAGTGGGCATTGTCAGGGCTGCTTGCCTTTCGGTATCCTCATTTCATATGGATTAATTTCTTTTCTCCAAGTCTTTTTTTTTTCTTGCATTGTTTTTATAATCATCAGATTTGCTGGAAAATTTGGCTCTGTAGTCCCCTCCCATTACAACAGAGAGGTGTTTGAGACCTTCACCCCCTCCCATCCTTACTTCTGAATTCTGCTCCAGAGGAAACTGCAGTTGTAAATACAATCTTGCTGCTCATAGTGATGAATCCTTCCTGTTACGAATGTATGTTCTCCCTATCTGTTCTCAAAGAGGCATGGATTAACATTTGGAAATACAGCCCTTCAACCCTTTTGCTTCAGTTTTGCCATTCATAAGTTAGAATTAATACTTTCTAGCTTCAAAAGACTGTTTTGAGAAATGTCATTGATGTGTATACAATAATGATGGAATACTCCCTGAGGTTACAGTTCCTTGATATTTTGTTTATTTTGAATCTGCTGTGGAGGTGGCTAATATTACTTGTATGTAGTAGACCAAAAATAAGTAGAGCTTTATTTCACAGGTCTGTGATTCCTATCCTACAGAAGTGTATGTACCAAAGTCTGCAACTGCACACATCATAGTGGGGAGCTCTAAATTTCGGAGCCGAAGGCGCTTCCCAGCTCTTTCTTACTATTACAAGGAGAACAATGTAAGTGTGAATTTGCAGCTCTGAAGTGTTGGCTTATTTTGGGTTTGCTTTCATAATTCTTCTGGTAAGCTTTGACAAGAAGAAATCAGTGATTATTTTATTAAAAAAGAAAACAAAAGGTTATTGTTGTCAGGTTAGTGTGGTTTGTGCATATGGTCACACACTGGAGTTACGACTAGTTTGTTAATAGGCATATAGTCATTTAAACCCAGCTTCATCATCCAGCTAACACAACAATATGCAATCTCTGTGTCACAAGGAAGTGGAGTAGCACAGGAGATCCTGAAACATGGGTGGCAGGAGAGCGATGGCCAGTAGCAGGCAGTTGAGCAAGTGACTGGGAGGAGAACAGAGCAATAAAGGATCTGGTAGCCACAGCCTGAAAGCAAGTCTAGGAGGAGAAAAACTACACTTGTAGCAATTAAGAGATTCAGGGGTAGCCTTTCAAGAAAAGATCTGTGAATAGACCCAAAAAGGATGGCTGAAAGAGCTTAGCTGGAGTTCAGGTTAAGGTTCAGACCATAAGGATTTGAAGTTTTGTGTTTACTCCTGGATTCTTTATGATTAAAAGGGGTAGGAAAAGGGCTGGGAATGTTGGAAAAAAACCTCCTTGTGAGTTTGGAGCTTGGCATGAGTTGCAGCTAACAGAGTAATGGGAAGGAGTGGGGTAAGATTTTGATGGTAGACACTGAACAGAGATGGAAACAGCAGGTTGGGAAGAGCTTTACTGCATGCAGGAAAGACAGATGCCACTCATTCAGTCTTTCATATCCAGACGTTTCCCACTGCTCTTTGGTACTGACAAATTCAATGACAATGTGGAATCTGTCTCTGCATCTTACAAGATCTGTGTGAGTCTGATAAGATCAAACTCTGGAACTATCTGTTCAGCCTGTGCAGAAGTAAACACAACCTCATCTCTTGCCCTACTCTTAAAAATAGCTCAAGAAGTTTTATAGATGTGTATGCTCATCCTAAGCAATTGGCCTGGGTTGGCAGGAGGTGATCTCTTCATGGATATCGTGGATAATAATTTCCACTTATGATATCCAATGGTCACTAGAATATCTTATCTTTCTAATTTTGAAATATTGGCAATGAAAAGGTTTCTTCATCTGAAGCTAAACATAACCTTAAACTCAAGCCTAAATTGACAAACAAACCATTCTCTCATACTGCTGCTTGCACACACCTTAACCCTTTGGGCCTCCAGTATGATATAATGTAATAGGCTGTAGACCATAATTTCCTGAATCCTAACCTTCATTCACAACCATAACTTTAGCCTTAATCCTGTATGTATGCATGTATGGCACACTATGGAGGAGAGAGAAACATCTTCCTTCTATTAAATTGGCAGGTTGTGGACATACCCAAATGTACTTTTGCTTCATGCAAAGGAGGTATAAGTTTATATTAATATAAGTTTATATTGCTGGAATGTGTGCTGATCAGCAGGCAAGGCTCTAGATAACTAACAATCTGTGTGCAAAAACTGTGAATAAAGTATTAACAGGCTCTCACACAATTTAGCTTTCCTGTATTAAAGATCTAGGTTTTACTGACTACCTACCGATACTTCAAAGACTTGTCTGGAAAAAAGCATGTCCTTTTTCACATTAATCAATAATCCGTAGGGCAGTCTGCATGGGTCATGACCTTCAGCAGGCAGATTCTCTTCATGCTTATGTTTAGTGCTTGGAAAGTGCATGTTTTAGCCCCTTGCTCTTTACAAATCTATCTCCCCTCTCCCTAGCAGAAACAAAAACCTCCCTGCTCACCTGTTTCACATTCTGTTCCTTCTTTCCCAGTTTCACCTAAAGGTCTGATCCTGATGGATCTGTGGAGAAACTCTTTCCTTCTTCAACATCACTGATAATAAATGTATTCTAGAGGTCAGGCTGCCTGACCCACTTTCCATGCAGTAAGGTCTTTCTCCAGAGGCAGCGCTAAAAATATACCACCATCAGTGATCTAGCTGCATGTTACGTGGTTTTGTTTCCTGGACTCATAGAATCAGGCTGTTTAGTAAAGCATGCACTGATGTAAGCTGGGTGTAATCAGTATCATAACTGGTAAGCGTGAGTGACAGTGCAAAAGGACTCATTATTTATATTACATCAGTGTTCTTGTGATTGCAGTGTTGCACTCCTCACATCCTCTAGAGACCTCCTTGCAGGAGTTATTCCACATTAGGACAATACTATATTTAAAATAGCTCTTAAACTTGGATTCAAGACTAGACTTGGGCCAGTGGGGTTGCATTGTTTTAATATTTCCTTTCCTTTTTAAAAATAAGTTTATAAACACGTAGTTCATTTTTACCATTCCGCCTTCCCACGTAGCTGTACACCTATGCAAACATTTAATGAGCTGGTTTTGTAAATGCTTCTGGATGCTAAATAATTTCTGCTTGATAGCTACGTTGATTTTTCTGTTGTTTGTCTGTTTTTCCACAGGCTTCCATATGTAGAAGCAGCCAGCCTTTATCTGGCTTTAGTGCTCGATGCCTGGAGGATGAACAGATGCTCCAGGCCGTTAGAAAAGCAAATCCAGGAAGTGATTTCATATATGTTGTTGACACAAGGCCCAAAGTAAGTACCTTAAATTTCTTGCACATAGCAGGACTGAATCTGGACTAAATACGTTAGGGAAGATGCACAGCATAAGTGACTCACCATACTTCTGATTTAGTTGCAACTCCACAGGCAAATCGGGGTTTATCAGGGGAATCTTAAATAGGAACCTTGCCCACGTTTTTAGCTCTTGGAGAATATTTTTCTTTACACTGAGCTTTTATCTTTGTTCTTAACAAAATGTTAAGATGCAGATAAGTAAGTAACTTGAATTGGAACTGCTTCCACACACAGAGGACCTATCAATAACTATATATTACTGATGAGAGCAGTGAAAATAATTCCCATTATAAATCTGTATTTACAGCTGTTTGGAAGGTTGCAAACCTTTGCCTGCTTATACTAAGATTGTCCATGCAACATTTCTCCCGAAACGTGAAAATTTCAATGACCTCTGCATAAGGCTGAGGAAAGACCATTTACTGAGGTTACAAGAATTTAGGAAACCTTCTTTGAATATCTCCAGCACTTTTATGCTTTTGTGAGAGAATCTGAAATATGGTAAATAATGATCTCAGATGCCATATCCCTGTATGTGACTAAAATCTTTGGCCAAGATAGAAGCTTTAAAAAAATCATGCTGTGCAGAAACTCAGTAATCATCTAGAAGAGACTGGAAACTGAAAAACCCTTGTGTCCAAATTGACATGCTAACAAACAGCTGTAGGTGATGAGGACTAAACAGGCTTCAGTGCCTGGAGGTGGCAGTAGGGATATATTCTTTCTTACACAATCGGTAGCTTCCCTGTTGATGTTACCAAGTATCTGAAGAAAAGAAAACAAAAGGGCAAATCTCCACAAAATCCCGACTAGATGTGGATGAGCTATAGCACAGGAAAAGGAAAGGTGGGAGCAAAGGTTTGAAGGAAAGGAACAAGGAAGCTGTTTCAGTATCCTGAGATGGAATGAGGAAGGGCAGAGCTAGAGCAGAAATGAGAAATCTGTTTGGTGGTTGACTGAAGATCTGGGGGCTTGGTGGGAAAGCGCTGAGCACTCAGAGCTGTAACCAGAGAGCAGAGTAACCAGAGAGGCAGTAGCCAGACAATTAGGGCTTTGGCATGTCTCATTGCACTTTGTAATTTGGTGACTACTTTGACCTTCAGTTCCCTCTGTTGGGAAGACAAGGATGTCACCACCTTACTTGTAGTCCTGAAAAAAATGAACCATGATCAGCACTAGGATAGGATTGCTACCACTGTGTTCAGAAGAACAGGCTTCAAATACGAAGCACAGACCTAGCTGCCTAAAGAATGCTTGTTTGTAACAGTTTTCTATATGTAATAATAGTTACAGCATAATGTTTCCTGGCTGATGATACTCGTAGTCTTCCCTAATTAAGGAAGTTGCTTGCTGATGGGATTTATTTCTAAAGAGTGACTGACTTGGCTATTAGTAATGTTTTACAAGGTATTAACGGGAATGTCCCATTCTGTGAACTTTTCTGGTAAATGACATCGAGACACTTCCTGTGCGCAGTGAAAAAAGGCTGTACTTTAAGTGAAGAGAGTAAAACTGGCTTGCTGTGCCATGAATGACGTCATGTTTCCAGCAACTCTGGCTTCTTCAGAAGCCGCTCAGGAGATAAAGTCTGCTTTCGTTGAACTTCTGTAGAGAAAAGGGTTTTGATGTAATTTGTATACACAGATTCCTACTTCTCTGTGCTACAAGACTGACTAATTTACTAAAGCTCTTGGTGCCAAATAACAGCCTTGTTTCGATTCTATACCTCCTAATGCATCTATAAATCTAGAGCATGTAGGAAGTGATACTTATCAGTACAAGCCACTCCTCAGTGAACCTTTAACAAATGTAAAGGTAAGGTAGCAAGTCTGGTGCAAGGTTTCCCATTGCTCTAGGAAATTAAAAAACTACCTGCCTCTTCTCTCATCAGAATTGCAGAGATTATGAATATTGATGGGCCCTGGAATTCAGCATTCCCAGGTACTCCTCATATGTTGTGCTTCATTGTGTTTGATAATCTTCAAAACAAAGGACTTGGCTGTGGAAGAAAGCTTTTATTCCACTTCATTTAAATATACCAGGGTGACCATATGCAGAGCTTTACTTAGGTTGCTGTTTGTCTTGGTTTTCTCCTTCCTCTATTAGCTTTACAGAAGCTAATATAAACTTACTGTTTATGAGTAGAACAGATTAATTCTATAACTCTTTATAACAAGGTAGGACTTGGTTATTGTCCACATTAAAGATGCCGGGAAATCTGCTGAGTGAGGTCTGTTCCCTTCAGAGGTTGTATCCTCATATTCACTGAGATTAAGTGAGGTCAGGCACAATGTAGAGAGCTTTACAACCACTTTAAGAGCAGCAGATGGAATTTTGGTAGGTGATGTGGAAAATTTGTTAGTAAATATTGTGGCAGCTGAAAAGTTCGGCAACTGACAATATTTAAAATAAATGAGTGTCAGAAAGCCTTGCAAATTTAACCTTGTATTTATTTACTTTTAATGAGGGCTATTTCAGATTGTCTTTTAAGAAAGGATTTCTGTGACAAAATTGATCCGCTGCAGAGACAGTTAACAGCATTTATTTTACTGGGGATTAGGTCAGTTAGGGGCTAGATGTTTGTCATTTAGTGTTTCAAGGGGTTGTGGTGGCTTAGACTTATGCATACAGATCTTTCTTCTTAGACACTTATGTCTACTTCAAAAGAGAAAGATTAGGATTCAGCAGATAATTTATATCTTTCTAGCAAGTCACACTGAGGACTTTGTCCTTAAAGGACATGCTGTTCTCAGACTGGCTTTTTTCATTGATAGAACATCAGCAGACAGCTGGTTGATAGACAAGAATTCCCCCCCCCCCCCCCCGCCTCCTTTTTCCTGAATGCACACTACAAGTTAAAGGAAGTTTTACACGGGACTTGAGTAAATGAAAAATGCTGGGGGGTTTCCTCCAGCTGTTTTCTTGTGAATCTGAAATGAAATTATAATGGCATAAAGAGTTTTTAGTCTTTAGCTGTTTCCTTTGAAAGTTGAGAGGTGAAATTTGATCCATTGAAAGCTAGTTTGACATATGATGTTGAAAAAGCTGAACTTCTTCATCTTAGCTGGAGGTAAATTGGCAGCAGACAATCAATCCTACTCAACTGCATTCATTCAGCTCCAAATTAAAATTGAATATTGGCAGTATGTGTGTTTGGGGTGGAAGAGATCAGGAAAGGACATTCTTGTGTATCCCATGGTACCATTAGTAGATTACTGAAGTAGATTATTGTGAGTTTCAGAAGCGACCACAGAGGCAGCAAATCAATAGTACTGACTGCGATATTGGGAAATAAATGAGAATTGGAGTTATCCACATAGTCTCTTGGCCCCTAGGCAATGCCTAAGAGATATTTTGCTTTGATTTTTCATGAGCATTGGCTCTCACTGCAATGAAGATGAGTCACTTTTTGTCCAGCTGATGCCTCATAAGGTCTCTCCAAAAGCTTTGTTAGTGCCCTCCAGTCTGGATGTGCAATATCCATTGTTATTTAATTCTGAAATCTTTCCTGAGCAGCAGCTGCCAGCTGTGCTAGGCATGTGTGTGTGGCATGGAGGTTCTGCCATGTGGACTGCTTTGTTACTCCTGGATCCTTCATATTGATTGGGAAGTTCAAAGGCTCCGCTACCTTACAATGTGCGTTTCATAGAAGAGCAGGAACTTCATGCAAAAAGACAGTTTCTTTCTATTGTACAGCGAGATTTTGCTACAGGAAATAAAACTTAAAAATAAAATAGAGTAATAAAGTAAAAGCACTTCATTCATTTGGATCAGCTCCGCCTCAGAAGGGGGAAAATAAGTATTAAAAAAACCCTTAATTTTATGCTTGGGAAAATTGAACTAAAGAATCATTTAGTGACTTTCCCACGCCATGAAGCAAGTAAGATATTCAAAGACAAAACTCCAGCTTCCAATTGCATGTATTTTTTTGCTGAAGCAGAGCACAGTATTTGATAGTTCTGCATTGCAACTGAAAATATTTGTGGTAATTTTGTTAATTCAAATAGTTTGTGGTCTTATACAACTACAGCCAAAATAGAACAAACTTAGGAAGAATTCCAGCTCTCTCTTCATTATTCCAAGCTTCAAAGAAATAAGCTGTATCAACTTTTGGATGATTTGAGCAGAAAACAGAGTAACTTGGGCAACATTACAGAGTACATGTTACGAAACAGTAACATGGCATTTAAGACACTGCCACCTGCTGGGTATATTCTGCTAGTAAACATAATGCTCATCAAAAAAATGAAATCAGAATAGTCTTTTAAACCCAAATTAAAACCTTTATGCTCTTGTCGAGGAAACCTACATAAGCTGTGTTTTTTGTGTTTAATTTCACTAATGAAGTTTCACTCCAGTGTGTAAAATAGAGGTCAGAGGCTCAGCAGTCCAGTGCCATGCAATAGGCTGCAAAAGATCCCTGACTCCTAACCCATTGTGTTGACATCATGATAAATGCTTCCTATTTGTACCTGACTTAAATCACACTGATATATTGCAGTAGACAAGCTTTGTTTTGAAAATAGCATGCTACTGGGTTTTCATATAACTTTCCCTATTTTCCCAGCTCAACGCAATGGCAAACAGAGCAGCAGGGAAGGGATACGAAAATGAGGACAACTACTCCAACATCAAGTTTCAATTCATAGGCATTGAGAACATCCATGTCATGAGAAACAGTCTGCAGAAAATGCTTGAAGGTAATGCTCTACTGAAAACTAGAGGAAAGATTTAATCCTTCTGTCATTCAAATCAGGGTAAATGCTCTGAAATCAGTAGCAGTGAAAACAGGTATGAAAGGAGATCTTTGCCCATTGCAGCTGTGTGCAGCTGCCTGCTGACTAATGGGACTTGTACAGTGGAGCATCATCACAACTAGTGGTGAGTTCCTAATCATGCAAACACCTTGTTTTGTGGCTGAAATCCAGATGACATTTACTTCAATGACATAATTCAGTAAAGTGTGATGGAGGTTACAACAGTCACTCTCTTTGTGACATATTTATACTTAATTCCTTGGTCTAAGGGTCTCAGGGAGGAAAACGGAAGGATTTTTAGCTGATTACAAAGTCTTGTTTGGCTAGGAGAGAGGCTGGGTGAATAAACCTGTTCTTCTATTTGTTCATTTTAAAAGTCAAAGTAGTAAACAACCAGCCTGGCTGCATGGACAGTGCTGTGTATTATTTTTGAGCCAAAAGTTTGTGAGAGTCGCCCACAGCTCAAACTGATCTGTAACAAGGTAATTTCTAATTCATTTACCACTTCAGGCTGCTTAGCGAACATTCCTTCTTAGCATCTCTTTTTAAATAAGCCGTATGAGCAAAACATCTGCTTTTTCCATAGGTTTTTCATTTGGTATGTTGAAATCTCGTATTTAGCAACCTGGTGATAAGATTGGAAATTAGATAAATTAAATCTGCGAGTTCAAGCACTTTCACTGAATGAGAAGGGCTTTTCTCATGCAAGGTGCTGCATAGGTTTTCTCTTTTTCTATTTCCCTTCACGTTTCTCTGGTGGCCTTTAAAAATGGATATGTCTGCTGCTCGTGATCTGGTGTGAGATGTTACAAGGTACATAAAAACCTCTGAAAAGACAAATGAGGCTGATGAAAAATGTTTCATGTGTGCTGCATTGCTGCTTGGAAGTGTATGGTGTGGAAAAGAGGACATCAAGACATAATGGGTCTGATGTATTGCAGAAGTGCAGAGGCAATTTCATTCACTGTACTGGAATTAAGCAGAAGTGAAGGTTGGAGAACCTTCTTCACATGAGAAACTGCAGATTATTTAACGTAATCAATTTTAAGTAACTTTCAATGCTGAGGAAATTTGAACAAAAATTGATTATTGAGTTTTCTAGTGGAAAATGCATTTATATTAGGAATGTGTTCATTTCAACGATTTTTCTTTAGGGAAAAGCTGAATCAATTAATTTATAATTGTAATAATGTCAATGATTTATTTGAGTAGGTAAAAAAAAATTGGTTTCAGCTTTGTAATTTTACTTTGTTTCTAACAATTTTATTTCTCCTAACTTTAACGTGTATTTCCCCTTATATAATGTTAATTTTGGTCAAAATACATCATAAAATGATCAAATTTGTAGGACAATAAGAATTCTTTCAGAATATGCAAAAAATGTTGAGATTTGACTGTCCTCTGGAAATAAAATGTATGTAAACATGCTGAAGTTTCCTTCCCTTCCCAAAAAATGTTTTACTTCTGTCTCTGCTGCCTCATATTGCTTTAGTATAGCACTGATTTTTGAAATTTTCATTTAAAAAGAGGTATGCCATAATTTGATCCTGGTCACAACCTCCTTGAAATTATTTTTAATATTAGAAAGAAATATTGCACAAGGACATTTTCCAGTAAAGATTCAAGGTCTGACCGAGGCTGTCTTTTGGTGTTTGTGATGGGAGAACTCTGCCACACATCCAGGCGTCAGCCAAGACTTCACCCTCATTTGTTAGACATTGAGATAATGACCCCACATGCTGCTTCCTGTCTGCATTTAAACACTGTCTGTATTTAAACAGCCAATATGAGCTTCTCCTCCCCTCATACCAGGAGTAGTTGCTGATACATGAGCAGCCCCCTGATTCTTTGGCTTCAGCAATGGATCAGCCAGAAAGAGTCCTGAGGGTTTGGCCCACAGAATCTACTACTTCCTCTATCTATGGCCTTCTTGCTAGAAATGGGAGAACTGGTCCAGCATCCACCCTCACTGGTGGAAGAGGCAGTTTCCACTATGTGTCCTGTTTCTTCCTCCCTTACTGGGGAAGGGAGCGCCACTGGATTGCTATGAGTTCTGCACAGGGGCTCTTGATTTTCCAGTGCCCATGCAGTGGCTGCAGCAGGTCTTATTTCTCCAAGATTTTGGTGCTTTTTCTGCTGAGATAGAAACACCTTTTCCCTGTAGGGTAAGCCTCATAATTCAATTCATAATTGAACTCAGTATTAAGGTCCAGATTGGTAGCCAAAATCATGTGAAATACACAGTGTATGCCTTTTGGACAGTCTGAACTTTGCTCAGTGAAGTGGTTGGTAAATATTGACTCTAATTTGGTAGTGGGAATGAGAAAAGCACTATTTCAGCCTTGCCTTGGGCTTTTGTAAATAGAGACAGCAGCTTCAGCCAGAATTCAGCTACTAATTGGTCATGCTTCCATCTGCACAGGAGCATTAATCATGTGAAAAGCTGTTTGCTTTCAGTGCCATTATCTATGCATTTTTATAAATATCCTTCAAAAATGACTTTTAAAATAACCATCTGGAAAAGGCCCAATGTATAAAGATTGCAGGACTCTGTATGGACACATTAGGCTATTTCCCCCCTGAATTAAATGGAATTAAGGCAGCCAAATATCTTTGGGTGTGGTATAAACTCTGACTTTGCCTGTAAAACCAAATTCCAATTACATTGAAGGACTCTAAAGTCGTGCCACTGGTCATAATGGCCATAATTAACTGAGTCCTTTAGAAGATTTCCAGAGGATAAGAGATCTACTAAGACATTATTAATTCATAGATTATACATTAACTCAGTGAAAACCAGGACATTTTACACTGCATTCCTTAAATACATTTCACTAGTTAATATCTTTTTTCCTTAAAAGACAGTATAATTGTACATGGATCAAAATACATGTATAGTCTGTTTATGGGGTGAATTTAGTGTCTCGCTGTTGAAAGGAGATTGCACCAAATACTGCTCTGTATTTGTTCGCTGCTAGTTTGAGCAACCTTGTGTAGTGGAAGGTGTCCCTGCCCACGACAGAGGGGCTGGAACTGGATGCACTTTAAGGTCCCTTCCAACCCAACCCATTCTACAATTCTATGATTTGATTTATATTCTGACTGCCCTCTTTCTGTCCTGAGGTTACAAACTCTGTAATATTAAAAATGAGACACTTGGATGCAGCAAGGTAGAAACTTAATGTTGTAAAAACTGGGAGAGTTTTCTTTTTTTCAAACATGGCATAGAGCTTGGAAAGCTTTCAGGAAAGTATTTTCCTTGATGAATTACAGATTTTCCTCACCATCAGAATACTTTCTAAGTGAAGTTTTAATAATGTTTCATTCAGGGATGGAGAACTGTTGAGAGTGAATAGCTTTCACTCAAATACCATCATCTGTGGTTATGCTGATGGCTGGGTTTGGTGGGCCTGCTCTTAGAGCTTCATCAGCAAACATGGCTGGGAATGAGAGGCTGTGGCACCACTTAGGTGGCTGGCTGTCTGCGAGCAGAAATTGTATACTTTCTGTTTCCAAGCTCTCATTATTAAATACACAATCCCCTCTCATGGGTTTGAAAACTTCACTCCCAATACAATTCTGGAAAATTTCCTCTGCAAAGGATGTCTTTGGTCAACTGTTTGCAACAGGCTTTGTAACAGCTTCTCTTTTTAATTTACATTAACATACTGGGGGAAACTTGACCCATCACGCTTTCTTAAATATATGCTGGTTTTTGTTTTTTTTTCAGTGGTAAATTTTGACTGTGAAGTAGCCATTCTTTTCAAAAGATGAATGCTTTATATGAAGGATATCTGAAGAGAATTTTTTGGTTGAACAGTCAGTGAAAGCCTCAGGGTCTATGATTACTGTGCATTTAAGATGTTGCTTATTTTACAGTTTGTGAGCTGAAATCACCTTCAATGAGTGACTTTCTGTGGGGCCTAGAAAATTCTGGCTGGCTGAAGCATATCAAAGCCATTATGGATGCTGGCATTTTTATTGCTAAGGTAATGTGTGCAAAATGAGGACTAACCTTGGACTAACCAGGTACAGAAACTGAAGACCAACTTCTCTGCTTGTGGGTAACTTCTGTTATCTCCAGTGATGTATCTGGAAAAAACCCCAACATCTGGAAATGCTTCATGTATGAGGGGAGATGATTCTTAGGCACTGTCATGTGGACATTTTGTTAATATGGTAAAAAGAAGTTTGTGTTCTTCACCAAAGAATCCAAACATACTAAAGCCACTACTAGCCTGCATCTTGTATGCCAGGTATTTGAATGTCTGTATTTTACCCCACAGCAGTGATTGTCACTGTTTCTTTCACTATTTCCCCTGCCTCTTCCACTGATTTCTGGACATTTTCTTTGTTGAAGGTTTCTGTTTGAGGACTACTTCTTTTCATGTTAGTTGTAATACAGGAATATTAGCTACTGTGTTATCCCCTCTGAGTTATTTAGCCACAAACAAAATTCACCTCCTAAACCAATCCTGTGCATTACCATGGCCAAGCTCTAGCAGCTTCTACTCTTGCATACTTGAGAATTGGCTCAGAAAAGTGGCTTTAATAAGATTTTTTTCTCCAAATCCAACCCAAAGTAATGCAGAAATTTATCATCTACTGACAGTAGTTTTATTACCCCTTCCTTGCCTTTTACTGTTTCAGTTCTTATTTTTGAGATTACAGTTACAATTTCTTACAGGCCGTTTTATTCACATGTCCTGCTACGTACGACCATATGAATAAAACTTCCTGGCTTTCCCTTCTCAGTAGCTGCTTGTTTCTCTTGCTTTGCTTCTTCCTGCTCAGCAGGCAACTGTTTGTTACCTGAACAGCAGCTGCAAGATAAATGCATGTTTTCCCAGCCCTCCTAGCTTTTATTACCTTACAGAAATCAGGTCATTTACATTGGCTCTTGCCAACTTTTCCCCCATGGCTAGTCTTAAAATACGGTCCAAAAGAATTTGATCCTTTGTCCCTATGCTTGCTAGCTTCTTGTGCCTCCTTGGACATGCATTGTGACCCATTCTCATTTGTACCATTCCAGGGTCTGAGTTGTTGGTTGCCTGCCCACAGGGCTTCTATTTTAGTACAATTTACTTGTCTCTTGAGATAAACATAGATAATTTATTATAATTCCTTGCTCCTTTTTAAGCCCAAACTTGGTTTAAATGTTTGCTTTTCTAAGCAGTATCTTCCCTAACCTACTTCATTTCTCTACTTTTAAAATTAAGTTTTCTTTAGAAATTACAAAGGCCAAACCCCTTCAAATTTAAAAAATTCAACCTCAAATTCCAAAGCTAATGCAAACCAAACTTGGGAGAAGTTAGTATGATCTCTTCTTTATGTGTTTATGTATAAAATGTCATCCTCCAACCTCCATTATTTACATTAAAGATACTGACACAATCTTATTTATTAGATATGGCAGTTTGCCATTCCCATGGGCTTCCCCACGAACCTTGACAAGTATGTCACAAGTGTGCAATGCAGTGTGTTGTAATAGTATCCACACTAGTGCTGGCATCATAAGCAGACATTGCTGTTATTGACCTTACCATCAAGATGAGAAATTAAAAGCCATATTTGAAGTATGGCTGTTCTGTTACTGGTATATGAATTAGGGCATTAACAGCATCGGAATCTGCTTTAGATAGTTGTCTGCTCTGACAGATTGATGTATTTTAATTGAAACAGATCCCAAATCCTCCTACAGTGGAGCATAAACAGGTGATGCTGCAGCTGCCATGTTGCACGGGATGGAATGAGATTAATTAAGACTTTCCAAACAAGGGGAACAACACTCAATTCTAGAAATCTGTGGCAGAGTAAAAAATGAAGGAGGTCTCTCAGTATCCAAATTAATACTCTCTACATTGCACTGTCTCACTGTTCCTCTCTTACTATTGCCTTTCTCCCTGCTTTTGAAATTTCTGACTTCTTCTGTGTCCTTAGGCTGTGGCTGAGGAGGGTGTGAGTGTGCTTGTTCACTGCTCTGATGGCTGGGATAGGACAGCCCAGGTTTGCTCTGTAGCAAGCCTTCTGTTGGATCCGTATTACAGAACTATGAAGGGATTCATGGTAAGCAGGCTCTCTTTCATAGAGTAAATGAAGTATTATGGCATCATTTAAGATGAGTATCTTTGGTTTTGATGGAAAATAAACTTTTCTTAAATATAACTTTCTTTTTTAAGTAGGAAGGAAGGTTTTTATCTGTCCATGTTACAGTCCCCCAGTTTCCGTATGAAATGTTAGCAAAGGTGTGAATCAGTTGGGCACCCATTTATATATTTTTTCCTAACCTTGACAAGAGATGCTTTCAGCCCAAAGGCCTTTCATCCAAGCGAGAATTTATATTCATTTTCAGGGATCACTGAAGTTTTGGGTATCAGAAGCATGTGCTCTCTAGACATTAAACTGCAGTATGCAGCTATGTTGGAAAATCTGTTCCTTTCCCAAGCGATACAGCACTGGTAAAGCATCTAGGAATTACTGGTCACACATTAAAAAGATGTTTGAGATGTTTTTAGATGGATCAAGCTAAGTGAAGTTGTGCTGAAATACTGGCATCCTACCTGCATCCATGCAGAGTGCTACTTCACCTGAGCTGGCAGCAGTGCTCATCACTCACTATTTTTCTGCTTATTCTATAAGTTATCTGAGATTCTAATAGTGCTTTCTTACATCATTCTTTCTTGGCATTGTTCTGCTTAATCTAAGAACTAACTGGGATTCCAATACTGCTTGTTTGCACCACCAGTTTCAACATGTGTCAGCTCTGCTCCACAACACTGAACGCAATATTCTCATTTTAGGTGTTAATTGAAAAAGACTGGGTTTCCTTTGGTCACAAATTCAACCACAGGTAAGGCAGTGCTAAGGTTTTTCTATGTATATTTTTATGCAGTCAGTATCTGTTTCCATTCCGATTTTACTTCCTTCTTGCCTTACAAAGTATACAAAGAGAATGCCCTCAGGAAGCCACCATACCCTTTCTCCTATGATGTAAATTTGCTGCATGGAAAAGTCAGTCAAATATTTTCATTTTAATCTGTCTTTTACTATATATGCACTCCAAGGCTGCTATTGGGAATCCTCAGTGCTGGTCTTGTAGTTGCTATAAGCATTGAGAGAGCCATGTGAAAGGAAAGTACTGTGTATGTGGCTTGCAAAATCCCTTTGGACTCAACTGTATCTTTCAGTAGTGCCAAGACTCCTCATGCAAGTCCCTGATCAATAAAGTCTACGTCTTCCAGGACAATACTTCATCTTAGGCATGCCTGCAAGTTATCATCTATGACATAAAACACATTCCTCCTATTACACTCTGTTCTAACAAAACAGCAGGATTTGTTCAGAAGCGTCAAGTAAAGCAAAGTGGAAAGTCATCTATTTGACAAGTTATTTTGCACATCCATTATGCAACTGCTTTATATGTAATAAAAATGTTTGAAGGATTTATACATTTAGGCGTGGATAAATATCCACATTTTCTTTCTTTCTTGTATTTCCTTTTAGTTTCTGTAAAGATAAAAAAGCAAGTTTTATATTGGAGTTTAATTACATTATATTGCTTGATTTGAATAGGATTTTATTGTAGTTTCAAAAAAAAAAACCCCAAGGAAATCTGTGTAGCTCCACACCACTTGCAAAATTCTAGCAGGAATTCCTACATTTCATATGATATGTCAGATGTCTATTGATGGTGAGAGATATTATGAAATGTCATCACCACTGCTAGCTTTGGTTTGCAGTACAGTGTTGCTATATTTTCTTTGATGCATTAAAATAGTAGAATTAGAAGTTTTGATTTTAGATGTTTATGGAATTTCCATTGGTTGATATATATATACACACACAATAGGTAAGCAGAATAACTGATTGAAAATGCTTCTTCCTATTAAGTAGACTTAAGTGATTGTCTATGATGTTTTTGTCAGTAAGTCATTGCAGTTATTCTTATGACTTATTTTACTGTGGTATAACTTTATATTAAGAGCATTAAAACATGTAGCTGTCAGGAAAGAAGACACCCATAAAAGTATTATGTTTGTATTTGATAAATTCTGCTTTCATTCTACTCCACAAATATTGCATCATTTTTGTAAATAAAACGATATAGTGGCAGTTGAGATTTTATAAATGAACCTTTCACAGTAAAAATGAGGGGTTTGTTTTCGTTAGTTTTAATTCAGTTTTCCTAGAGGATTTCAGGTTATAATTGAACCTATCTTGTCTTGTTTCAGGTATGGCAACTTAGATGGAGATCCAAAGGAGATATCCCCTGTTATTGATCAGTTCCTTGAATGTGTTTGGCAGTTAATGGAACAGTTTCCTTGTGCCTTTGAATTCAATGAGAGATTCCTCATCCACATACAGCATCATATCTATTCTTGCCAGTTTGGGAATTTCCTGTGTAACAGCCAGAAGGAGAGACGAGAGCTGAAGTATGGAAGTCTTTTCTTTAGTAGCATATTTATGTGTGGAGCCTGTGGGTGGTGGTGTACTCAGGAGTCAGAAATTTGCCAGTCTACTTGTATGTGCTTTCTTAAGGGGCACAGTGCAGCGTAGAATTCTTGGCCGTTGTCTTCTAGCAACACCAATTAATACAGGAAAAGAAGTTGATCCCCTGCAATCTGGCTCTGCTGGGAGTTTAATCCACGTGTGCATGACAGGGATTAGGGAAAACTGACAGGAGCATTAGCCCTTCAGCCATGTGGCCCTACCTTTATTGCAGCATTGACAACAAACAAGGCAAGCTGCCACTGTAGCTCTAATACAAGATGATATTAACTCTAGTTAAGTTCTCAGTTTAAGAGTCACTGCTCTTCTGTGTTTTAACCTGTCTTTGGATCTCATGACAAGACATTTTATTCCTGATTTCTTCGATACTTTCTTATGAACAGTTTTTTTGTCTGGTAGTTCTCTCTCAGACTGAGCCAGCAAACTAACCTGATGTCTGGCCCCAAAGCAATTATGAATTAACCTCCTTGCCCCCAAGCACAGAGACAGTAATATCATTCCTGGCAGTGCTAGTGTTCATATCTGCTTCTGGGGCCCTGGTTCCTCAGGTACATCATGAAACCCACCATTTACTCATGCATCCTGATCCTATCAGCAGTAGTCATGAGAGGCAGGACAGAGTTGCTGCTTGCTGCTGCTATTTGGCCCCTTTCAGTGCTCAAATGCAGAGCTGCTTCAGTGCCATAGTCCATTTAAAGTCAAAACCTTCAGAAGTCATCCTATCCCAAGACCTAAGTAACCTAACCTAATGAGAAATGAATAGTTTAATGGTGTAGGAGTGCTTTTAAATGTGGGGATCCCTTTGGTGTAGAGATCAGTCTGAAAGCTAATTTTAGGGAAACGATCAACTCGCAAAGGAACATGTCTCTCCACCTTATCTCTCAAAAAAACCCCACCACCATAAAAGCTGCTCCAGCTTTATAAAAAATGGATTGGATTTTGCCTTTAGTGCCCAACAAAGGAATATGGGTCTCTTGTTTTTCTGTATTTGTAACTTCAGACTAATTCTGTTCAGGAAGTATAAAGCAGATTATAAATAAGTACAGAGCACTAGGATGTCACAACTATGTTTTAGTTATATCTGACTTTAATATATTATAATTATTTATATATATATATATATTTTTAGAATCCAAGAACGAACGTATTCACTGTGGGCTCACTTGTGGAAAAATCGTGCAGATTACCTGAATCCTTTGTATCGACCTAACCACAGTAAAACCCAAGGGACCCTGTGCCCTCAGATGGCTCCATGCAACTTCTTGTACAAGTAGGTAGAAACACCTGCTACTAAGAATTATAGGATGTGTTTGTACAGAACAGAGTGCCTTTGTATTTAATATTTCTTATTTTATTTTCTGACTTTTAGAGAGTAAATTCAGTCTCAGATGCTATGTGTTTGTTCCTTGTATGCTCATAATCAGCCAACACCTCTGCAGCATTTCACAATGGAGTATTAGTCTGAAAAGAAGCTTAAGATTAAAGCTATATTGATAGTTGTGTGTCCTCATTTCATGGTTACTTACTTCTCCCACTGAGAAATGTCTCTTTCAGTTCTGTTCTCGTCTGCAGTTTCCAAATTTCAACTTCTTCCATTCCACAATTTTGTGGTATTTATTTGGACCAACTGGTGTCAAAAATAAAGAGACATTTCAAGAAATGATAGGGTTTCATTGCTAAAACAAGTGTTTAGTAAAACAAACAGCAGAATTCCCCAGTGTCGTTGCTATACCTCAAAGAATACAGTTTGTTTTTTTTTTCAAAATGTAATATTATAATTTTATAAATAATTACTCAAGTCAGAATGTCAATAGTAATAATTGTGACATGCATCTTAACAAAGTTTATGAGAACTTGAATAGAAATTAATGAGAACTGTGATTTAGGTAAAACTGTCTAATTTGTTTTCTAGTTGCAAGTAAAAAGTACCTGTTAAAAGTCAATAAATATTCTAAATGGCAGAAATAGAATTCTTTCATGTCTGCTGTTCCAGGTCACATCCACTTTAAAACAACTTTAAAATAGTCACTAATTGTATTCTTTAGGATAGTGGGATTTATAAAAGAACTACTGATACTGCATATCCTCCATTGGATGAGTAATCTTGTTGATTTTAATGGAACTACTTGGGTGCATAAAGATTTCCAAGCATGAGCTATCAGATGATAAACTTAAAGGGGAACATGACTTAAACAGTATACTACTGGGGTAGGAATAATAAGGTATGTGCATGCTCCATGAAGGAGCATGCACGTACTCTGAAAATCTCTGTCAGCAACTTGGCTGGACAGCTGCAGCTGACAGCAGGTCTCCTGGTTACTTAACATGTCTGGTGAACTCCTTATGTGCTCAGAGTGTGACCATGGCCATGTATTGCCAGGAAGAGAGAAGATGGGAGGAGTGCTAGAGTAAGCTATAGACTTACAGTTCAAGTCCTTTCCTCCTGAAAACAAAACATCAACTCAGCTGTTTAAATAAAGGTTTGTCAAACAATTCCACAGAACAAGAAAACTTGCCAACATATGTGCGTCATGCCATTTCCTTCGGCCAGTTTAAAATGTCAGTTTTAATTTTAAGAGAATAGGACACTCTTCTATACAGTGGAGGAAAAAAAAGCCTGTTAATTGCTGCACCTCACCACTACCACCCTCACCATCCCCTCTCCTGCCCCAGACAAAAACAAGCACATCATAACATTTCAAAGTTGACTTCATGGGGAGTTAAACAGCAGTTGAGAACTAGGATTATGAAAAGCTGCGTTCAACCTCAGCTATTTTATAGGTACCATTCCTCTAAAGCCCAGAGTGTAGAACAAGAAAATAATACAGCCAAAACTTGTGTTCACTGAACACAAGTGAACCCACAACCACGGGATCCAAGTCCAAAGTACGCTCACCTTTCTTTCTGTTGTGCATCATAAGTGGTTCAAGCTGTTTATGTCCAGAGTTGCATCTTCAGGACAGAGCCAATGCAAATGAACCATATATCTTGCCAAATATTCAATGAACTTAGTGTATGCACTCTAACGATGACTAATCCATGGATGGATCATTTAAGACAACGTGCGTCTGGAAAAACAAATAAAACCCCCTGTGTATTTCAGTCTTCTCATGCCACCTCACCAAATGAGAAAACTGCCAAGGTTAATTGCTTTCTGTCAATTCCAGGTTCTGGAGTGGTATGTACAACCGCTTTGAAAAGGGGCTGCATCCTCGACAGTCAGTTACTGATTATCTGATGGCAGTGAAGGAGGAAACTCAGCAGCTGGAAGAAGAGCTGGAGGTCTTAGTAGAGGTAATAAACACTTGCTCTCGATGCCTCAGACTTAACTGATGGTAAATGAAATCCAGTTCCATTCACTGCAGAGTCCCCTACATGCTACATCCTTTTCCATCATGAGGATGTTCAGCTGTCACCTTTGTTCTCACAGAAATTACTGGTTTACATTTAAGACACAACAGTGGACTTTCTTTAAGGATAAAAATTAACCTGTGTTAGTGCACAAATACTACTCCTGAAAGGAATTTTATATCCTTCTGTAACTCAGAAGGAATTGTAACTCAGGCTGTTGTAATTCAGCATTGGTTTGTGATACACTATGCGCTTCTCTTACTCCATAAATGCAAATAGGCAGATTTAAGGGTGCAAACTGGGTTAGGCTCTGAACTTATTTTATTTAAAAACAAAAACAAGGCAGAAACAGGTAAGAGGATTAGCAGACCCTAACTATATCAATTTAATACCTATTTTTATCTTTATTTCAGAGATTGGCGAACCTTCAGAAATCACAATTAAATGATAATAAAGTCAAGAGTAAGCAACAAGACCAAAGCAAACATTTAGGGCTTTCTACTTCCAGCTTAGCTAACACTCCTCAGGAGTATAGCAACGATCTGAAATCATTCCCATCCCGGAGCCCTTCACAAGGGGATGAAGAAGATTCAGCCCTGATTTTGACACAGGACAACCTGAAAAGCTCTGATCCCGATCTCTCAGCTAACAGTGATCAGGAGTCTGGTGTGGAGGACTTAAGCTGTAGGTCTCCAAGTGGGGGTGGCTGCTTGGCTAGTGAAGACAGTGGCAAGGATTCAGATGAGGCTGTGTTTCTGGCGGTCTGAAATACCTTCACAACAATGAGGACCCAGATTAAGTCAAGTCCCTCGCAGCCTGGAATGAGATCTTTTCAACAGATGAAGAATGGGAGTGGTGTGTGGCCTAAAGAAATAATCCAAAGAAAGGGAACTGTGCAATTATGTAAGTAAAGATCAAGGCAGAACAAGCCATTATTAAAGACATAATGCTAAAGAAAGGTAGTATCTGCTGTTGTATTTAGTTAAGCCAATGTAGTATTTAACTTTATCAATGCTGTATGTAATTATTCCTTACTTTGTATATTTCCATAATTATTTGTTGTACAAAATATTAGTTCTTCTCCAAAGAAGTGAAATTCCAAAGTACTCTCTTACACATAGGGACAAGGTTGAAGGTTTCTTAGTGTTAGGCTTACTGGTGAATCAGTCAAAACTTATTTTTGTAGAGCTTTTTTGCCTTCAGACAGTGTGTATATTCTTCACTTTTTTTCATGGGAGGTGTTAAATTTTGAATTCCAACAAATATTTTGCATGTTCTCCTATTAGAATCCTTTGCAGCAAAGTAAAACTTAACAAAAGGATGTGCTTGCTTAGGGGATAAATGAAGCTCTGATCCTGCAAAGAAGTCCTTTGGTAAGCAGCAGCTGCTGCTGCATATGAACGCACCCCATTTGTAATGATACAATACTTACAAAGCCTTCCTGGAGAAGCATCCCTTTATAATGATATTCCTTTATAATGCCTAAGTACATTAGACAGTATGCTCTAGCATCTTTATGTTTTATTATCAAGTTAGATTGTTGATATCTTACCCTTGCTTCAAACCAAGGTAAGATATAAAGGTGAAATCTTAAAGGTAATAAAGCCTCAAATATCTCCAGCCTATTTTAATTTTTACTTGAAAATGTTTTATATGGGTGGGAGTGAAGTACATATACAGCAGAAAGAACAGGGAATCCTAACAAATATCACTTACTTATGGAAGCATCACTGAATTCAGAACTAAAGAAAGGCTATGCCCATAAAGGAACTGTTATAAAGAATATTTCTTCCAAATTTTATTGTTCAAAATAAGCCAACCACAACCAAGGCTGGTTTTTTTTTTATCCTCACACAAATTTTCCCTTTTAGTATTTGCCCACCTGAACTGAGCATGCAATACTAATTTAAGACTGATTCACCATGACAGAAAGTTTAATCTCATTGGAAGATTTGTCATATTTTTTAAGAGTAGGAGTAATAGCTTTCATAATCATAGGTACAGAAGAAACCACTGAAAAAACTGGGGACTCTTTATCAGGGACAGTCGCAATAGGACACGGGGGAATGGGTTAAAACTTAAACAGGGGAAGATCAGGTTAGATACAAGGAAGAAGTTCTTTACTGTAAGGGTGGTGAGGCACTGGAACAAGTTGTCCAAGGAAGTTGTGAATGCTGCATCCCCAGCAGTGTTCAAGGCCAGGCTGGACAGAGCCTTGGTTGACATGGTTTAGTGTGAGGTGTCCCTGCTAATGACAGGGGGGTTGGAACTAGGTCCTTTCCAACCTGAACTATTCTATGTTTTGAAACTTACTAAAAAGGCTTCCATTTCAGGTCTTAATTCTTCAAAGATTTTCTCTTTTTTTCTTTTCTTTTAATAGAAGCAAGCAATTAAAATACATTTCATATGGCTGCTCTTTCTTGCTTGAAGGCAATGTAGTATTGAACTCTAGTAAAGCAAAGCAGTAGTAATGTAAGTCTACTTAATTGATTTGCTTACATTGATTGCATTTCAGACAACTCCTTCAAATACAGACTTACAGGCAAAATTAAATTGTATAAATATACCTCAACTTAGAAGCTTTAATTATTCACTCTGCTTTTACAGAATGGCTTTTCATTCTGTTCTGTGAACTTATTAAAAATGAGTAGGTAAACTTCAGCATTATTGATGCCCTCTTAAGGGAGCTGCTGTCTTCGAACACATAATTCAATTCCTAACACCAAGATTTATCTTAATATTATACTGGCAAGGCCAGATCCTCAATTTGATAAATCGCTGTATGTCAAATGGAATAATAAATACAGCTAGGATCCACACTCTGTTGAGAATCTAGCCTTCTGGGTTTTAATCTTTATGGATTTTTAATAAATGAAAGCCCTGATTTTAATTGCACTTTTTAGAATGTTTCATATTTTGAATATAGCCTGTAAAATTTATGGTATAAAGGAGACTTTGAATGGGGTTTTCTCAAGCTAAAGAAACATGCTGCAGAGTCAGAAATGAAAACAAAACACACAAATATTTTGCCTAAAAATGAGTTTGAAAATGGGCAATATTACTGCAACCTGTGCAATATTATTGCAATCTTGAAATGTAAAATTATGTATGATACTATTGTGTCCTATTAGGCATGTCTAGAAATAAATGCAGAACAGCAATATATGCAAATTCTAAGTGCTGTCTTCACATCGCTTATGCAGATCCTTGTAACTAGCTTTACAACTAAAATACCAACACACTAACATTTTATATTAAGCCTTTACTTAGCAGCCCTCTGTGATTTTGCATTAGCTACTGATGTTTCATTGCAACGTGTGTAACTGTGGCATTATTAGCCTGCTGCAAAATACTTTTAAATAAATATTATGTTATTTCACACCAGTGAATGAAACCAAGGTTTGCTTTCTCAATTTTTTTGCAATATAGTTCTTCACTTACTCAAGAGTAATTACGGTGGATGGATGATGGCAGAGCGGTGGATGTGGTCTACCTTGACCTCAGCAAAGCATTTGACACAGTCTCCCACAGCATCCTCACAGCTAAATTGAGGAAGTGTGGTCTGGATGATCAGGTAGTGAGGTGGACTGTGAACTGGCTGAAGGAGAGAAGCCAGAGAGTTGTAGTCTATGGGGCGGAGTCTAGTTGGAGGCCTGTAATTAGTGGAGTGCCTCAAGGGTCAGTACTGGGACCGGTATTATTTAATATATTCATCAGTGATTTAGATGAGGGAATTGAGTGTACTATCAGCAAGTTTGCTGATGACACTAAGCTGGAGGAGTGGCTGACACGCCAGAAGGCTGTGCTGCCATCCAGCGAGACCTGGACAGGCTGGAGAGTTGGGCAGGGAGTAACTTGATGAAATATAACAAGGGAAAGTGTAGAGTCCTGCATCTGGGCAGGAACAACCCCAGGTTCCAGTATAGGTTGGGGAACGACCTGTTAGAGAGCAGTGTAGGGGAGAGGGACCTGGGTGTCCTAGTGGACGACAGGATGACCATGAGCCAGCACTGTGCCCCTGTGGCCAAGAAGGCCGATGGCATCCTGGGGTGTATTAGAAGGGGGGTGGTTAGTAGGTCGAGAGAGGTCCTCCTTCCCCTCTACTCTGCCCTGGTGAGACCCCATCTGGAATATTGTGTCCAGTTCTGGGCCCCTCAGTTCAAGAAGGACAGGGAGCTGCTGGAGAGAGTCCAGCGCAGGGCAACTAAGATGATTAAGGGAGTGGAGCATCTCCCTTATGAGGAAAGACTGAGGGAGCTGGGTCTCTATAGTTTAGAGAAGAGGAGACTGAGGGGTGACCTTATAAGTGTCTATAAATATATAAAGGGGGAGTGTCACGAGGATGGAGCCAGGCTCTACTCAGTGGCAAACAATGATAGGACAAGGGGTAATGGGTACAAACTGGAACACAAGAGGTTCCACTTAAACTTGAGAAGAAACTTCTTCTCAGTGAGGGTGATGGAACACTGGAACAGGCTGCCCAGGGAGGTTGTGGAGTCTCCTTCCCTGGAGACATCCAAAACCCGCCTGGACACATTCCTGTGTAACATTATCTAGGTGTTCCTGCTCCGGCAGGGGGATTGGACTAGATGATCTTTTGAGGTCCCTTCCAATCTCTAGCATACTGTGATACTGTGATACTGTAATATTTGAATCCAGTAGCTTAAGCTGTGGAGGAATCTACAGTTGATAACTAAGAACACTGAGGCTCCTATTGAATTATTTATATGGGAGCATGTTTAAACCTTTTATTTGGGATTTTTAAGGAATGTGAAAGAAGGGATGAGAAAACCACATTATATGAACTACAGATTTCTTGTCACTCAGAGGGGGCTCCCCTCTGCTGCAAGTCCTTGCAAATTTGGCATAAGCCCACTGTAACTTGAAAGAGGACACACATGAACACAACCGCTGGAAAGAAAGGATCAGAAAAGCATTATAGATTTCTGCGGTGTAATGTCAGCCTCGCTAGTTTCAGACTGCTCTTTAGTATGAAAATATACATCTAAAGACTCTGAAGGCAATGGGATAAAACTACTAAAGTTTTCTCTACAGAAGGTCATAATCTAAAGAACAGAAAGATCATTGTCACAGCTACAGGTTGGGCAGGGAAGAGACTCAGAGCAGCCCTGGAGGTGTTGGTCGATAAGAAACTGAACATGAGCTGGCAGTGTGCGCTCGCAGCCCAGAAAGCCAACTGCATCAAAAGGACCGTGACCAGTAGGTCGAAGGAGGTGATCCTGCCCCTCTACTCTGCTCTTGTGAGACCTCACCTGGAGTATTGTGTGCAGTTGTGGTGTCCTCGACATAAAAAAGACACGGAACTGTTGGAACAAGTCCAGAGGAGGGCCATGAGGATGATCAGGGGACTGGAGCACCTCCCGTATGAAGATAGGCTGAGAAAGTTGGGGCTGTTCAGCCTGGAGAAGAGAAGGCTGCGTGGAGACCTCATAGCAGCCTTCCGGTATCTGAAGGGGGTCTATAGGGATGCTGGGGCAGGACTCTTCCTTAGGGACTGCAGTGACAGGATGAGGGGTAATGGGTTAAACTTAAACAGGGGAAGGTTAGATTGGATATAAGGAAGAAGTTCTTTACTGCGAGGGTGGTGAGGCACTGGAATGGGTTGCCCAGGGAAGCTGTGAATGCTCCATCCCTGGTGGTGTTCAAGGCCAGGATGGACAGAGCCTTGGGTGACATGGTTTAGTGTGAGGTGCCCACCATATTCTCTGATGATAGGGGCAAGCCAGAGCATCAGTTTACACATCTTTAAAGATGCTTGGTGGCACAAACTAATAGCAATTAAAACCCAGCAACAAGGAGGTAGCCTTTTCAATGGAGATAAGCATTTTGTCACTGTTGACCAGCTAACTGAATGCTTTTTGCAGATGCTGCCCTGATCTGTATACAAGTCATAAAGTTTATCGCAAACATCAGTTGCGGCAATGGGGTCCCTCCGTGTGCACGGTAACAGCAGAATGTAGCTTTTAGGGTGGCTGGTCACCCTTACACTCCATAGTGCACAGACAAGTAAACACCACAGTGACAGAAAAATCCTCCAAGGATGGGTAAGTCACTGACAAGTCATCTGGGAAGGGAGGCACATAGAGCAACTTATCACAGTATTAAGACCTAGGGCTGAGTAAACAGCAAAGCCAGAATTAAGCGAGACCAGAAACATTACCAGAGAGTGGGGCTATGAGAAGGCAAGGTAAAATAAACATTCAGCTTTAGGTTATTTAAATTGCCAGTAAAGCATCTGGAAGCAGGAAATCAAATCATGTTAAACCTTAAAATAAACTTTTAGTCTTTTAATATAAACCATTCAGAAAGGAAGCTAATGAAACCTTTACAGATCCACCAGAATTGCTACAACTGAGCTCAATCAAGGACACATTTTGAAGTTTACTGGTTGTCAAGGTTATTCAGTCTTCAGAAACAGAGTAAACCGATCTGAAGAACTTGGTTCTTTATGTTAAAGTATTTCCATGTTATATAAACAAGCTTGTTTTGCAGCTTACTACTGCATATAAATTCGATCTCTACAGGTATGTGACCAAAAGAAGGCATTTACAGAAGCAGAAGCCAGAGATGCAATATGGGTTTTCAAAGCCCATTTTAGTGAAGGTGGCTCTAAAAATTACTGCTGTGGAAAGGGCTAAACAGGAAAAGCTCAAATCACTACTCAAAGATTATAAGGTTTGTTGTTGAATAGTTTACTGTACCCATTTCCAACACAGTTCTGTACCCAACCAAAGAGTCCTGCAATGCCCAACTCATTATGTAGGTTAGACAATACAAGGCATCTTAAAAATCCCAAAGCCTTTATTTGTAAATTGAACACATTACAGCATTTAAGGTTCAGAATAAGACACAATAAGGCTGTGATAACTGACGTAACTTTGTTGCCAGAGTTTTAATTCAGTTTTACCTGAAGTTCTCTTAAATCTCTCTTTTAGAAAGACTTCTCATCTTTGAAGGAAACAGAAAGAAACTGGACATAAACAAGACTAAAATATTTCTAACTTCCACATTTGGTCAAGGTCCAAAGTGGCAAAGGTGCAGAAGTATGTACAGAGCAAGCAACGGAACTATAGTAGATCATTAAATACTACTTTGAGCTAACTTTAGTATAGTCCATGGCTTGCAGTGGTGGCTAGCATAGCTGTACATACCTCATAATCCCCATCTTTCAGAAAGGTTAGCATGTCAAATACACTGTGAAATCTAGAAAAAGCTTTCTTCTATAAGCAGCAGCAGAATGTACCATTAACACCAGCTGTATAAAAGATGACTCCAAGATGAAATCTACTTGATTTTAAACTTATATTTTGAAATTTCTCGTCTGCAACAGCATCAATTACAATTGCTATATAGAGAATTCTCTTCTGGATTTAAGTAGTCACTTAACTCTGGGAGGAACAAGAGGTCTAAACTGAGCCAAGAAAACAGCACCAAGATCAGGTATTAAAAATAAGCAAAACCCAGACTCAATTAGCAGTTACAATACAGAATGTACCAAACTGCTGCAACATCAGAGACAAGCTACCTCCTTTATTCTTGTATTTCTTGCTCATTTCTTTCACTTTTCCACTTGGCAGAACACCTCAGCATGAGCATGACATAGTGCAAGGCTCTCCAGAAACAAGACACTGTATATACTCTATTATTCCAGTTATTGGAAGAGTTCACTTGACACATCTCAAAGGATTATAGAATATGCTTCCAACAGCAGCTGCCACTCTTTTACACTTCATAGGGAATTGTTTAAAGCTGGATTGACATCTACATGCCACATTTTGGCCAAGTAAGGTAAGGAGTGTGCTTAACAGTGAACTTAACAGGGTGCTAGAAGCCAAAAACCGTAACTCTGTTGGTAGAACGTTACCAATGTTCTAAGTATTCTGGTGAAGGTATGAGGATTACCTACAAGAAAACATGTTCCCATTGGCACAACCAGTGTAGAACTACAAGAAAAGAAAACCAACCAACAAAACAGCAGCTAGTTGGCTTATCCTTTACAGGCCAGGAACAGGCTGGCCATAACTGCATGTGATAGGATACATGTAGCTAACTCAGTACACCACTGTTGAATACAGAGACTTCTTTTCTAGAGGATGGGTCTGTGACTGCAAAAGGATCTAAAAAATAGGGGGTGTGTGTGTGAAGAACTCTTAATAGGAACAGCAATATGAGATATAGAATAGAGAGAAAACAGACCTTGAACTTTCGTAACTCTGAAGACCAAACACTGTACTAAGAACTTGCATTGAAGAGTGCAATTTTCTTCTAGACATTTCTCTACTATCATCAGGACTCCACAGAGAAGTCCTAAATTTGTAAATTTGCTCGCAAAAGTAACATAAGAAGAAAAGTTCAAGTGTTGACAACTTACATTAGTTTGGGAAGTAAATCCCCTGGACATCATCTGGCTAGAGTTCAGCCACAGTGAAGCACCGTAACACTCCACATAACAGTAAACAGGAGGGGGCAGGTAAGGACAGAATTCTGTCATTCCAAGACACTATAAAAAGTATAAAGAACACAGAAGCTCAACTCAGGAAGACCACAAGATGTTTGGTCATCTGTTCCTTTCTCTGCTTACAAGGAAGAAACAACAACAACAAAACAGTCCTGCTACAGAATTGTGTTCTGGTCTTTAAGATTGTTAGCTACCTTCTCAGAAAAAGATCCAAACCAAACTTAGCACAAAAATAGATGGAGTTTGCCAAGAAGGACACTGATGACTTAAACCTAACTCTTCTCCACAGCTGCAGAAACCACACTTACTCAGAGACCCAAGTCAAGAACCACCTGAAAACCTATGCAATCTTATTTTTAATTAGGGCTTCAGTTAGCACATTAGCAGAACTGCTATGTCAATATACAAGCAGTATTATACACAGCCAGTAGAAGCAGGTTTTGGAAGAAGATACTCTAAAATTATTGCTTAACCATGGCACTTAAGCCTGTTGATTTTTTCTGTCACCTAAGTATCTTCTTTGGACCATATTTCTATTTTCTTAGGACATCTAACCTCAGAATTAAGACCATGTTTACAAATTAAAATCCCATCAAATACCAGTGAATAGTTTACTCACCTCAAAAGGCAGTAGCTTAAGACAGACAACCACAGTACTGTACAGGGCTGAGACTGAAGTCCCATTTTAAGACTGCATGAAGTCTGCTCCACAGGCTAGTGACTTACATGATTTCTTAACTTACTCTTCTAGAAGAGCATCGCGTTTAGGACTGACCGAATATTAGCGATATAGAAAAGTGCCCACTTCCACTAACATGCTTTAGTTTGATATTTGAATCTATGGTGTTCTGTGACCCCATCTAGGTAACAAAAAGGGAGTATTTTTGCTAAGAGGTTTATCTCCAGACTGCTTCCTGACAAGAAAGAAGCAGGATTCCTGATATATTACTTAACCAGTGCTTTATCTTACTCATCTTTCAGACTGTACAATTCCTTCTGTTCTTCTGGAACTTGTTTCTGTGAAAACCTAATGCACCAACAAGGTTAAGAAAAAGAATGTCTTTTTGCAAGCAAAAGACAGAACAGATATGCATGCATTTGGGGGCTATATTTTTCTATTACAGAATACTGCACTTGGTCTTATCCATTCTCACCATATATACTGCCATCCTAAGAAACAGTCAACTCACCAGACGCAAGAGTCAGTGATTAAAGGGCAGAATTAAGTCTCATTTCCAGATTCTATCACTGGCCTTAACACCATGCAACTCCAGCCAAATCAGTTTATTTGTTCCTTAAAATTAGGAACAAATAACTGTTACTTCACAAAGACCTTCAGAACTAGTTTTTGTAAAGTGCTTTTGAGTTCCTCACATGATGAACATATTCATATTGCATAAACAGACACTGGGAGCTGATCTGATTATTTTTCCTTTAAGTAAAAACAAATATGAAAATGAAATTGTTAAATGAAAATTGTGTTTAATTCCAGTGGTAGATACCAAGCCACTCCTGAAATCAAGTGCATCAACATACCAAATCTATGCAGAGATCATTTACTCTATTTTGATTCCAATATAATTTGTTCCAACACATCCTTTGCTTAATCCAAAACACAATACAGGCTATACTCAGTTTTCTATACAACTTAAAAATAAACAAAACACACCTGTTCTTAAACATTCTGTCTTCAAGAAAAGACAGTTTTTGGATCCATTGACAATCTCAAGTTGAACTTCTTCAGTTTTCAAAGTCCTGTCATTACTCATCTCAAATGTTTCCACATATCAAGCCAATTCTTATGCTTAAAGTCCAAAATACAAAAGATATGAATTATGTTTTTATAAAAATGTAAAAAGCTAGTCAAAATTACATGTTTAGATATTTAATCTCTGAAGAATGAAGTATAGCAGCAGGAACTTAAATATAATAAGTACTATCAACAATAAATACAAGAAATTAGTGCAAAGATTGCAATAGAAGAATTCTTGAGTACAATGAGAATATAAAGAGACATTCTAATTTGTACAAAACCCATCCCAACTCTGTATACAATCTCTTCTATAAATACAACCATACAAGATGAAATGCTTATTTGCAAATAATAGTTATTAAAAAGTGTGCTTTATTGGGGTTTTCACTCGTTTTCTTGGCAGGTGTAGCTTGCAGGAAATCTGTAAAGACAAATTTCCATAATTAGATATTTTAACTCCTCCAGAAGTTACATTTTAAATACAACTAACAACAGATACAGCTCATACTTGATTTCTACAGAAAGCATTATTAGAACTCCACGCATTGCAATAGATCTATTTGCAATTAGCAAGTTGCAAGTGTGTGACAATGAGAAAATGGAAAAAAAAAAAAGAAAAAGTTTGCCACCAACATTACAGTTTACCTATAGTGGAGCATGAAATTGGCTGTGCATCGCTATTGCGTGTTGAAGTTTTTCCTCTTTGGCTCGTCTACAGTGGCAGAGCTACAAAACAAGACGCCGGAAGAGTGAATTCTGAAAGGAGTTTTTTGTAATGCACACTACAGTTTGCCTTTAATGATTCAGCTACTTTGCAGGCTCCTTAAAAAAAGGAAAGCCCTGTGAACCACCTCCCTTCCAAGCTTCAGGCTCAACTGTCTATACCAACATTATTCCACCCACATTCTATGTTATGAAATGCATTTATTAGGCAACTTTAAAGAAAGGTACGCTACCCAGTAAGTTGCTCTTGTCACAGCATAAGCAAGAACAGTGCTTTTTGAACCTTATTTACTTTCTTGGGAATAGCCATCAACAGAATAATTAGTTTAAGAGGTTTAATCAATTAAACATTAAGGTCGCTTAATGTGTCATTCTATGTCTACCTACCAATTTGAAAGCTGTCAATGTGGCTATCTTCTCTATACAAGATATAGAAAAAAAAGTGGCACAAAACTATCTGCAACACTACATGACCAGGGTCTAATGCAGCAGATGTTTGCACTCCCACCTTAAACGTATGAGCTTTCAGAATGCATCTGTAATCTAAACAGACCAAAGCCACTTAGGGATATATTTTTCCTCTGCTGGAGCTTACTCCAACACAGGACTGCTGAAATCCTGTTTATTCACTGTGTTTTGTATCTATCAGAGTAGAATGATTTGTATATTACATACTGTTCTCTTTTCCATGAAACTACTTAGGAAGTCATCTATTTCTGTTTTGCCTTCCAGGAAGTCTTCTGCAATAGTGTCAGATTCCTCTTCAGCTTCATGAGCAGCTACTTTAAGTCTGGCTTGCAGAGCACTTGGACTGCAACTCTAAGAAGATAAAAACTTGTATGTAATATTAAACTGTCCATCAAAACCTACATTTCCAAGAAGAAAGCCAAATTACTATATAAATATGGGATATACAAATAGAGCATTACTATTACATAAAAGCCTAAGTGACCAGATGGAGCTTCATCTCCAGGAAACATAATAGCTTGTCAAACTATTCAGTGTGACAAAAGTGTTACTAGCTTAGGTCTTGGTTTGCAGTCACTCTCACAAATATAAAGCTTTTCAACTTTTACCGTACAGTGTAGAAACCATTAAAACTTGGAAATCTGACAGGTTTTTAAGTGCATGGTTTCTGAGTAGAACTGATGTTTCAAGCGTCTTCAATAAAAAGGGTCACCTTTTGAGAGGCAGTAGTGAGCCTAAGAAGTATGAAAAGGTAAAAAAGCAAATCCTGTTCAGCTTTTAAATATCCTTTAGATGACTGTGGAGAAGAAGGCAGGAAAGGGCAAAGCACCTACTCAAGAAGTACATGTGCTGCTAATTTAAACCCATGAGTATACTCATTCTTCCGTTCTTATAAATGTCAAAGCTTATTTTGGTTTATTGAATATAATTTCATTATTTTTCCTCTAATATGTTTGAGTAGTTAATAAGAACATGATTCGCTTCTTCAGGAGTACATACAGAGCCAGAACTGCAAAATTAAGATATTTATAGATTATAGATGCTTGGCCTACTCTTCATCTACCCCATGAAAGATATTCTACTTGTGTACTGTAAAGCTGTAATGTAAAAAGAAATTTCCTGTTAATCTTCTGCAAAGTAAGGACACTTTGCTCTAATAAAAAATGAGTAAAATTCACCCACAGTACAAGTAAAAAGACTTGTCTGGAACTTTGAAGAAGAGTTAACAGGAGACACGAGGTAGTATGCTGTGAACATCAATACATGAACATAGAGCATATATTGAAAAATAGCACAGAAATCCAGCTGCAGCTCCCCAAATCTCAGCCTCCTAATCATAACTAAATTGAATCAGCAACTCTATCCCAGAAACAAATAAAGGGTAATATAGCAGTGGGGTACAATGTCCTGTTCTTAAGTTGTTTCTTGCAGAAATAGAAAGTTGCTCAATGCCAGCTACCTCTGTCCACTTTAAAGACAACTTACATCACACAGAAAAGAAGCATTAGGAGTCAGACGATTCTGGTCTTCCAGTGCGGAAACAGTTATTTTTGTTTAGATCACTTCTGAAATAATTCGGTTTGCTCTTGTGTAGTTTTTAATTGTTATTTCATACTTTGTTACTTTCAGGGCATTTTGAAATTCAGGTACTGTGTATGCTGTTTTGATGGACTTGTATTCTTAGGTGACAAGTCTTGGAAATAATGAAGATTTCAGTGCAGAAACTGATTTATGAGAAGTTACACCTTCTAATGCATATCCTGGTAAACATACTGATAAATTATTCTCCCCTTCCAAACTACTTTCTGGAGTATTGACTTTACCTTATTTGTGCTTTAGAATGTGCAAAGTTTGACAGCACATGTAACATGATGTCCAAAGTAAGCATACCCAGTGAATCACAGAATTTAAGTTTCTAAACCAATGTTTTAAATCATTTTCATCTCTTACAGTTTTACAGACTAATGATGTTAAATGGGTACCATTAATTAAACAAGCCTTCTTTAAAAATCGCTCTATTCTTAAAAGGGGTTTAACTCAGGACTGCACTTATAAACAGCTCTAAATGCTCATCACACTCCCTTCCTCCAACGTTGCTTCTACTGTAGAATTAAAAAAAAACCCAACCCAAAAACCCGGTGCAACTGTAACACTGGTTTGCTTTTGAACTGTTTTGTACTTAATCACATTTTATTTCATACTTGATGTGAATCTGTTTCATATAAAATTAGAGTTTAACCAGAAGAGTATTCTTTGTGATTAAAGAAACAAACCAAAATTTCAGTTTTATTGAAGAATTCGTAAAGGATAATATAGTAAGAGAGATTATACCTCGCTAAGCTCATGTTGTCTTTGCATCTTTTTTTCAAAGGCTGCTTTCATCTGTGTGAGTTGCTCATACTGTAAAGAAGAAGAAAAAAGAATGTTTCCACCCTGACAAAAAAGTGTAGTATTTCAACTAATATTTCTGTAAAAGATTTTATTGTTCACTTACTTTATCCAACACCATCTGTCTTTTTGCCTCGAGACTCGGCTCCAGCAACAAGTTTTTTTCTGTGAAATAAAGTCACTATTACTACTTTTTTTTTTAGGGATTCTGTTCACAGAACAGTCACAGATGCTAATGTTTTGACATCTTACTTGCCAGCTCTTCAATGCTTTTCACCAACTCATCTCTATCAGTAATGACTTGCTTCAGCTGTGGTAGAGTCACAAACTGTTCCAGTAACACTTCCTCTTGCTCATTCATATTAGTCAGCTGCGATATGCTATATTCAAGCAGAAAGCAAGCAGATTTAAAACTAACAGCAAATGTTATGTGTAGAGTTACTTATTTCTGCTAAAAGTCAAAATGTAAGCATTTACTGTGGTTTTTCAGGTACACAACACTTGATCACTATTTACTTTTCCCCTTTCTCCTGAACCGTGGGCTCTACTATCTGCAGCAGTGAGCTCAAGTAGCAGTGTCTTAAAAGGTATCTCTCATTTCAAGGCTTCCTTCTTATAAAGTGGGATTTTTAATGCTACTATTGATCTTAGCCAACTACCAGACACCCAGCTCTCTCAGTCCCCCTTCTCAAGAGGATATAGAGGAAAAGCCTGTGGGCCTAGATGCAGTGAGATCACTTAACAATTACAATCACAGGCAAAGCAAACTCGAGAAAAACTCGATTTTAGTTTAATTACAGTAAGAATTGGATGGTGAGAGAAAAAAAGACAAAAACACCTCGCCCCCTTTTCCCACAGGCTCAACTTCACTCCTTCATTCCCAGCTCCTCTACCACTCTCTACCCCAAGCAGCACAAGGTGAGGTTTGCGGCAGAATTGCAAGTGCTGCAGTCAGTCTGGAACAGTTTGTCTCTGCTGCTCCTTCCTTCTCATGCTTTACCCTTGCTCCAGCATGGGCCCTTCTCCACAGGCTGCAGTTCTTTGCAGAACCTGCTCTAGTGTGAGTTTTTTGTAGCTGTAGTTTCCTTCAGGGCATATCTGCCTGCTCCAACATGGAGTCCTCCACGGACTGCAGCATGCATTTTACCCCAGCTTAGTTCTCTACATAGGCTACAGGGTCTGTACCTGTCCTGTCTGTTCTACTCTGGTCTTTTCCAAAGCTTCCATGAGCTGTAGGTATCTGCTCTGGCACTTGGAGCACCTCCTCCCACTTCTCTGCCTTTCGTGTTTGGAGGATTCTCACATTGTTCCACCCCTCCCCTCAATCCTCACTGCCTCTACAGAATTTGCTCTTTTTCAAACATTGAATCATTGAGGCACCATACGCTTCACTGCTGGACCTGGCTGTCCTGCAGCAGGTTTGCTGTCAAGCTGGCTGTGCCCCTGGCCCCTTCTCACACAATGCACGTATGCAGCGATCAAAATCTTGCCACCTATACCTAACAGAGCTACTCAGAACAGATGCACTACTGTTTGTGATTTAACTCAGCTACCACCAGAAGAATCATGGAATTTTAATCAGTTTTCTTGGAAGGATCAAGCTTGATTATAATGTTTTGGTTAAATGAACAAATCACACTTCCCCTCAAAACCCCTAACTTGCTGCTACGCAACAAAGATGCTGATAGAACTTACAGCTGATTGAGCTAAATTAAATGGGCTCTTCAGAATGTGTCAAGAGAAACAGAAAAACAAACAAAAAAACACCAAGCAAAAAACCAAACTGAAGCCCTCCTTGCCAAAGGTCTTTTACCTTTTGAAAGCAGCTTTTAAATCGCTAAAATATGATGCCACCATGAGATGAGAAAAACCAATCTAAGACCTTTTCAGAATTAATAGCTAATTTTTAATCTATTCAATCCCAGATAACAGATGCGTAAGGCTGTCTCACTGGATCTGAGCAAACTGCTGGGAACAATAACTAGCACAATTTTTTTAAATCATGACAAGATATGCTTTTGATGAAGATATCTGTGTAACATGTGGAAGTGATTTGCACTGGGACAGCTGGCACATTTACCTCCTGGATTTATCTAACCCACCCTCTCCAAACATGCTGAGCTGCTCACAAAGTAGCTTGTTTACCCTGTGCTAAAGTCCTTTGGAATTTAAGAGAATGCAATTTGTGAACCAGCCTCAAGTCCCTTTCCCTATCCCCTCTCTTCCTTCAAGTTACATTTATTGTCTTAGTAGAAATTAAGTCCCTGGCAAGACCCCAGAAGACAGCAGAACACTGAAAGTTAGGAAAAGTAAAAATAAATGCTTTCCTTTCTGGTGTTGAATCCTGAAATACAGTTCCTGCTGAAAAAGCTAAACAAGCAGCGCATTTGAATACAAGGCTGGCTTATTTTGTGACTCTACAATTTTGGTAAGCGGCAGTTCTCCTATTTTTAATTCCTACAAAAAACTTTCAGTGATGCACACAGACTTTTGTCAGATACATACCAGCTGTAATTGCCTTTTAATGACTACAGAAACTTTTGCTACCTTCGGAAAAATTACCTTAGCTCTGAGAGCTCTGGAAAGGTATCAGGAACATCAGGCATCTTGTAAGTAAATCCATTCTGGCCAACCTAAATGGAAGTATGGAAGTGTTTAGCAGATTTTTGAAAAGCAATTTCTTGATATTTAACCCTCCAAAACTGGCTATGCATTTTTGCTAGCAACAAGAAAAGTTAGAAAAGTAGTAAGAATCAGTAACACTAGTCTCTCAAGAGAAGACATCTTAACTAAATCATGTCAACAAAATGTTTCGGGTGGTACACAGTAAAAGAGGAAACACTTTTGACAGAAAATAATTCTGTCTTGCTATGTACCCCATCTGACAAGAGCTGGACGACCCAGAAACATACAGGAGGCGTATAACTCAGGCAAGTGAGAAGAGATAGAGACTGACATTTTGATCTCTTTCATGTGGTTTTTAAAGCCATAATCCCTTGGAGGAAAGAAGTGTTCAGGCAAGGGAAAAAAAGTCTGTCTTCAGAGAATGCAGAAATTTTGAATTATACAAAGGCAGGAAAGTGTCTTCCAAGATTACAAAAGCTTTTGTTTCTAAAGACAAGATTTGATGAAAGACTAAGCACTGAGATAAAATGTTTTTGGAAGACATCCAAAAAAAGTCCTTCCAGGATGCATCAGTGAGAGGGACTTTGTGAGTACACACATACATGAGCTGCAAAAAGAAGCTATTTTAAGCTTGAAAACTCTACACCTAAAAGCTTGAGACTGCACATTGTTCAGGTTGTGGGCAGGAAATCCCATAGAGAACAGGATCTCATTTTCTGTGTCTGGTGAAAGAGTCACAGTTGCACTATGGCGGAGTGCAGTTCCAAAAACCAAAAATGTATATGGAAAGATATTTAGCATTAACACTAGTTTAACTGGAACTCAGAAAGACAAACTTCTTGTTCTGACTTCAAGTTTGTTCTAAATAACTTTTCATCAAAGCCAGAATGAGTTCTGTTTTCCTAGCACCAGCAAAACAATCAAGTGCAGTCACTCAGAGTGTTCGCTTGAGTTTTGCAGCAATGCTGTGTGTGTCCTTAAAAGAACCTGTATCCAGTGTTTGATACCTTAAGCAGCAAAACTCTGCACACAGACCTGAAGCCCTGCTTCTGCTCTTGGAACAGGGAGTGGCAGATCAGCAATCAAGCCGTAAGAGGGAGCAGCAGGCTTGTCTGTAGTGTAGCTTGAAGAAACTGATTCAGCAACTGGCACGGCTGCTATTGTTCTATTTGTTTCTTGAGGTGGGTATGGAGGAAGAAACGGAAACCCCTGAGGAGCAAACGGAGGCATTCCAGCTGGTTTGTTGAAAAGGCTAAAAACAAATGAATAAAAAAAACTCACAATATGAGCAACCAACTGCTTACAGCACATCTCTTATCATTTGAAACCGGTATCTGAAAGGGGCCTATAAGGATGGTGGGGAGGAACTCTTCATTAGGGACTGTAGTGATAGGACAAGGGGTAACGGGTTAAAACTTAAACAGAGGAAGTCTGGATTGGATATAAGGAGGAAGTTTTTTACTGTAAGCGTGCTGAGGCACTGGAATGGGTTGCCCAAGGAAGCTGTGAATGCTCCATCCCTGGTGGGGTTCAAGACCAGGTTGGACAGGGCCTTGGGCAACATGTTTAGTGTGAGGTGTCCCTGCCCATGGCACGGGGGTTGGAACTAGATGATCTTAACTATTCTATGATTCTATGAATTATAATTACCAGATAACATATAAGACATAAGACTGAACTTTTAAATGACCACAAACTTTGCTTTTTCTGTTCTCAGTTACTTCCAACATAGTCAGTCTACTCTGCCTTGTAGTACAACATATATTTCATTAAACTCTATTCTTGTAGAACAGCCAAATACAGACTCACACTTTTCAGAAACCCACTTCTCAAAAATCTACAAGAGTGTGAATTTATATTGTTTCCATCTAAAAGTCCTGAAAAATGCATCTGTGATGTGCATTAGTTCTTATTTATGGTATTTAACAGCTTGGGCAACACACACATAATTACTACTAAATAACATGAATGATTCTTTTAAATTCAGAACTGCAGCTGCATCTAAATGCAGTACTATTGCCAGCCACAAGAACCGCAGTTGTACTGATAAAGCTGTAATGTCTCAGACCACTTTTGTATATTTAATACAATTCTTTAAATTGCACGATTTCTGTTGTATAGCTGTGCAACAGAAGCTGCCTTTAAGCCTGGGAGATTAGGAGCAGAATATGAAGAAACATGACAACATGACTGTTCATATCATGGTCTACAGAAAATTAAAGATTTCATCTGATAATATAAACAAAAAATATAAAAAGAGAATATAAAAAAAACAAAAACTAGAAAAAGAGAAGCAAATTAAGGTACATCAGCATTTTGATACAGTAACTCCAATGAAAGCTGTGTTTCCTCTCAAAACAATTATTCCATAAAGCATACACATGAAATTGTGCAAGGGCAGGCAACCTATGTCCCTCAGTACACCCAATACATTATTCCTGTTCCAGCCCTTCCAATACTTGGGTTTCATCTCTTTTTTAACAATGTAAGTTAACACACACAGTTCCGTTCATCGTGTTTATAGATACTTACTATGGAAATGATGTTGAGCTAGGAGCCAGAACTGGAGGATTCTTCCAAAATTCATCCAATAAACTCTGAATAATTTTTCCAAGATCTGAGTGCATTGTAAACTGTTAAAAACAAAGCCCAGTGCAGCAGAAAAATTTATTCCTGGAATCCAACAGTTCTAAAGTGTGCTGAACTTGACTGTTTATTATACACACACAGAGCAGTGCTGGAAGCTATCTGGGAAACATACTAGCTAATCTAAAACATGTATACATAAACTTCAAATAATGTTATAAAACCACCCAGAACTGAACAGAAACTAAATGTTTTTCATTAACAATGGAAGTCCATTAACAATTTAGAATCAACCAAGCACATTTCTGATCACCAACCAAAAAAATCTCACCTTAGGTTACCAAGTTACATTTGGGAAAGCAAAGAAAGGAGAAAGAAGAAACCAAGCAACCAAACAAAAAACCCAAACCCAAAGCCAATCAACATTTAAGACAAAAAGGCATCAAAGTGCATTCTGAAAAACTCATAACCCCTCCAGTACTCCCACCCCAGAAAACTACACCACATCCTTGTTGGCAGAGAAAAAGGAAAGGGAATAAAAAAAGAACAGCATATTAAACCCCTTATTAAAATTCTGAATATTGGAGCTGAAATCTTGACATCTTTCTAATAGGATTAGGGTAGAAAGAACAGTCTTACAAAACCGTTTTAAAGCATCCTTCTCCCTTACCTAGAGTACACTGTAAAGAAACATGTACTGTATTGCTACTAATAAGGAAAGGACCAGGAACTTCCTGAGCCATCATAAGTTAGAATAATTCTAGATACATGGAATACTAAGCTCAGTAATGGTAGCAGTAAAACAGTAGCATACTGAACGCTACTGAATTTTTGTTTTCAGACCCCTCAAAATACAGTTTGAGAGGGATAAGGATCTGTACTGATCTTTTTTACCAGAAATATTAGCAATAACCTAGTGTGACATGTATTAACATTGCTATTAACAGCAGATGTATGTGAAGCTACGAATTATACATACATTACTTATTAATGGACCTGTCACGTATACTCCCTGCTTGTCCATTAAATGATGTCTCACAGGTGGGAAAACACTGATGACTGGTTTTTCCTGAGGAAACTGAGGTGGAAGCAAGCTGCAAATACAAGGATAATCATTATCACAGCTACATCCCACGATAAAGTTTGCATAAGAAGGCTTCTTATGCAAAGAAAAAAACACTATCAATCACATAAACTTTTATACGAGAAGAGTTATGGAGAAATACAGAGTGAATGAAGCACACAAAACCATTATTCAGTTACAAAACTAGAAGTCAGACAGATCAGAATACAGGACTCCAATGGAACTAAAGAGAGCATTTACTGGGCAAAAGTGTAGTATAACAATGCAGCAATAATGGCCACAGACAAAGAAAAAGCTACAGCATAATAAGAATATTTTCTAATACAAATGTTATTATTTCAAAGACGGTGCACTGTAACCTGCAAGAATATCAGGCAAGTTATCAGGCTAATGTAATAAAAACAGGAACACCATCAGTGTTTGCCAGAACAAAAGCACCCTCAAAATAAATTCACAGGAAACGTTACAATAAAATCACTTAAGTTGATTAAGTACGATCCAGAAGTTTCATTGGGTAAGAGTTAGGAGTTACAGCAGATTAGTAAATTATGAATTAAGTTTACTTTCAGTTGTAGGCATCAGAAACCCTCAAGCATTTTCTTTACCTTCATCTCAAACCATGCAGGTATCTTGGGAGCTGAGCACAGCAAAACATAGTTTTACTTTCAGATTAGCATCTGCATCTTGTACATAACCAGTTTCACTCATATCATTACAACTACTAATACAAATCCAGATTATAGTTACTGAAAATAGTTATGAGATATAAGCCATTTACATTCTATTACTACTTTGTTTTTTTTTTTGAGAAAAATTTTAATATTCAATATGTGCATAGAGATATCTCAGTCTACTTACATGTTAATATTAATTGTCAAGTTGTTTACAGTGAATGGCAGTCGATATTCCACATCTTTCTGAATTTCTGCAATCCTGTCAAAGAAGAAATTGTCACAATCCAAATCATGACCAATATAACAGCCTAAAGTCTAAAAAAAGGCATGGCCCCAGATTTTTGCTTTTAGTTTAGTTTGGAAAAGCCTTATCAGAATAAAATTGAAAATGCTGGAATAGATTAATATGCTTCAGAAGGCTATACTGAATATTAAGATTGAACAATAAATAGGTTCAACTATTAAAACTTATACATGAACACAAGCAATGCAAATACAGTAGGAGAAACAGTGCTACTCACTGATCTGACAAAAGTCTCTATCTTTCTTCACTCACTGGCTTAATCTAAGACATCACATCAGTGATTTATTTTATACACTGAATTTTATGTGATAAAACATTTACTTTGTGAAGGCATCACACTTGGTTCACAACAATATATTGCTCTGCAACACTGCCTACTGATCAATATTTGGAATGTACTTTAAACTAGGCCTTCTTCCTTAATGTATTAGCTCACTACTTAACAGCAGTTTTTTTTCCACATGCACAGAGTTCTATGCACTTGCACACGTATTTTCAAAAAATATCTGGAGAAGTGCTACTTGAAAGAATGCAAAGTTCTGTAACAAAGCCACACACAAGACATAGCCTCCCTGAAAGTGCCAAGTGACCTGGCAAGATGAAATCCAAATTTGCTTCTGTTGTAACAGCTAAGTTACTGAGGAAATCTTTATATCAGGTGCATCAACAGGGAATTGATTTCAATGTTTAAAGCACTCTACAGCTTGTATGCACAGCAAAACTATTTTGAAAGATGGCATCCTAAAGAATGCGGAGGAGGAGGAGTTATCTCAGACTTAGCTCAGAAGCTGAACTTCCAGACAATACAAACATACCTGAGGTGGGGCTGGGGAAAAGAAGGTGTCCTGGGTTCAGCAGTAGTAGTCGTTTTTTTCCTTGGTAGCTGGTGCAGTGCAGTGTTTTGACTTTCGGCTCGGGAACAGAGCTGATAACAATGATGTTTTGGGTTGGCCAAGGACTTTGTGAGCCTCATGCTCTGCCAGGGAGGAGGGGAAGCCAGGAAGAAGCAGAGACAGGACACCTGACCCAAACTAGCCAAAGAGGTATTCCATACCACAGCATGTCATGCCCATGGGCTGGGAGACTGCGGGGTTGGAGGAGGTATGGGTCGGTGGTTGGTTGGGCTGGGGGGGGCGAGTTATCGGTTGGCTGGTGGCGAGGTGTTGTATTCTCTTCCCTTGTTATTTCCTTTATCATTGTTATTATTGGTGGTAGCAGTAGTGATTTGTGTTAGACCTTAGTTACTAAACTGTTCTTATTTCAACCCATGGGAGTTGCATTCTTTTCGATTCTCCTCTCCGTCCCTCCGGGAGTAGGGGGAAAGAAGGAAGGGGGGAGTGAGTGAACGAGTTAACTGACTGGGTTTAAACCATGACAGAAGAGCAGAAAAATTGCTTCATCTTACAATGCCTCAATCAAAACAAAAAACAGACTGATTCTTCTTCTGCATATTCTTCCTGCCTGTACCTGGTTAAGTACAGGCACCTCCCCCTCACCTCTCTAAGGCTCCCTTATACAGCAAGGGAAGACAGTTCCAACTGGGAATAATGGCAGCTGGGTGTTCCCAGAAAGCCTTTTGCACCCAGCTTCAGAATTGTCCCTTCATCCACCTCCACTTACACTCCATACAATTACTTCCTCAAAACCTCTGAAACGCATTACCTGCAAATGTGTATTAAGCGTAGTGTTAGGAGTGTTTTGTATCCTTCCAAAGCATTATTTGCATACAGAAATTAAAACTCTTGTTTTCAGAGCTTCAGAAATAAGCAGAGCACGACACAAACCTAGCTATGCACCTTGCTTTCCCCAACCCAACCTTACTCCTCTCAAAGACAACTTAGCACCTGCTCTTTCCCTGTGAAATCACATGCTGTTTGAAGAACCTACCAGGGATCTTCAGCACAGGCGAATTCTCTACTGTGATATAACACACGAAGAAATTGCTACCTCCTCTCTCTTAACTGAAGGATTCTCCCTGAAATCTCTCATGCATATTCTTGCCCTATAATCATCTGTCATGCATTTTAATAGCCTGCTACAAAATCCTTGAGAAGAGTATATAATTATGTTCCACTTACAACCTACAGGAACTGGGGAGGAAGCAGAGAGCAGGGAGAGAGAACCAAGAAATCCAGAATCTCATTGAGCTGTTTGAACTATTACAACCTCCTTTAAGCAAAACCCTGAATCAACAAACTTGGTTGTCCCTTCCCCAAGTGGGAATAGGTACACCGGAAAAATGACACACTTTGGCTAGATCAATAGCAAATGTAAAAAAAAAAAACCTGTTTTTTTTTAACCTGTTTTTTATAACACACGAAGAAATTGCTACCTCCTCTTTATATTAAAAAAAAAAACCTGTTTTTTTTTAAATATAAAAATTTCATTTCAAGCTCCTAACCTGGAGCCATCCTGAAGACTAGCTACTTTAATGAAATTAAGGTGACATATATCTGGGCTTTTACAAAATATACTTACCAGACAAAGCAAACACTAGAATGACATTTATTTAATCGTTGCTTAGGAAATAATGCTGTTGCAATGATTAATGCGTATTCCTATCTGATAGATCTGTGCTGCTATGGCGTCCATAAACAAGCACATCAGTCCCATCAAAAAAAAAACTTGCACTTTTGAAGACTTGGACAAATACACACACTTTTTAAAAGCAAAGTTTGAGGCACTGTTACCCAGATTTATTCAGCAGTATCTTACGAAGCTTGTATGCTTTGCCAGAATTTACTGCTTTGCTTGCCTAATTTTGGGGCATTTTGCATCAAGAGAGATGGGGCAGATGAGTTTACATCGCTGTAAAATTCTGTGAGAGCAGCTATTATCTCCCGACCATTCCCCACTTCAGCGTTCTTTCTGTCTCTGCCTGTGCTTAACTGATGCCTGCACAAACAGGTGGTAAACCAGTTCAGCAAGCTGACTTTGACAAAAGCTGATCACCTTTTTTGATGACTTAACTTGGAGCGAGTTCTTCTCCATAGTAGACAAAAAAGGGTAGAAATACAAGGCTAAAAGAAAGGCCAGTCCAACACAACTATTAGTTAGGTTAGCTGCTGCATATCCACAGAGACAGCCCCTTAGAAAAGTGATCTGTCTTTCAAAAATATTTGTGAAATTGACTGTGAACAGATTTAAGTTTAAACAAGCAGCAGTACTTTGCAATCCTGTCAAACTTATGTTTCCTGTGTGATAATTCAAAATATCACACAGGATATGTTATGATATCCTAAAATTAGGATTTTAGGATAGTGAGCAGTCTGCTTGGAAATACAATAAATATCTCTTGTGCTCAGGCTCAGTCTAACATAACAGAAAATAATTTTCCTTCTTTTTTCTGTATTGTTTTGGAGGCATCTAATATTCCACTTCAACAGACATCCCAGAAAGCAGGAGGAATGCTTACACATCCACTGGAAAGTCTAACCTGAAATACATGAACTGTGGATCTCCTTTTAAAAGGCTAAAATTTAGGCAAAACTGACCAGCATACTGAGAAGCTGGAGCATTTCAGGGTAAATGAACTTTCTGCTGTAAAAAGTGTGGACTTTGAACATGGAAAAGCTACCTGCCTCTGGTGAGCATGTAACTAAAACGAGTTACCAAAGAACAGTTATTAGCAAAATGACACTGTGCATCAAAAAAAAACCCCACATTTTGTGGAGCCAGTAGGGCTGCTATGCCACTGCGACGCACAGCTCCTGTATGCTCTGTGTTGTATTCTGAACTTGTAAAGAACTACGTTCCCATAGCCGGTTCTCAGTAAAAGGGAACTCACACAATCTGTACCTCGCTGCAGACTTCAAAACCCATTAAGTAACGCAGCTGACTTCCCGGTAACGCGGCCGGTGTAACTGAGAGTCCCCCCGAGCCACACCGACAGAGCCCCGGGCAGCGGGGACGGCCCCGCCGCTCCGACAACACATCTCACTTTCGGTGCAACCTCCCACCCCGCCGCTTCCCTCAGGCCGTCCTCCGGCCATGCACCCGCGGCCCTACCCCCGGGACTGAGCCGAGCCGCCGCGGCACGCTGGTCGCCCTGCTCCCACGGGCGGGACCCTCCATCCCCTAAACCCTGAGGGCTATGGCCGGCCCTGGCCGCGGTTTCCTGTTTACCGGCGTCGAGTACGGCCGAGGGCCGGAGGGACCCACCCGGGCGTCCTCAAGAGCGAACGGGGCAAGACCTCGTCCCTGGGCGTGTGTGTGGGGACACACGACACCCGCCCGGGGCGCGGTCTCACAGGGGCCCCGAGAGGTGCCGGACCCGGGTAGGCGACACAGGCTGCCCCCCCCACCTCACCCCTCATCCCCTGACACTCACGAGGCGTGCGCGCCGCGGAGGGACTCGATCTGCCGCTGCTTCTGCTGCTGGAGGGTGGTGAGGGGGGGCAGCGGCGCGGCAGGCGAGGCGGAGGCACCGCCTTTGGCGAGGGGGAACAGCCAGTTCATCCTCCCCGCGACAGCCCCGAGCGGGCGCGGCAACCACAGCGGCACCGCCACCCGGCCTCACTCGCCCCTTCCCGCATGCACCTCCCCTCGCCCCGCCCCGCCCCGTCACGACGTCGGCGCGCAGGTTGCGTCACGGCCGCGCGCCGCTGACCCTGTCCGCGGAGGGGCGGTGGAAGGCGTGTGCGCGGGCGGTGATTGGCGCCGCCGCTGTCGGCGGTCAGAGGTGAGGGGGGAAAGGCCCGCACAGCGGCGCGCGGCGATGATGTAATGGCTTTTGTGCGGCGTGGGCGGCGCTTCTTGCGTCTCGCGCGGCGGCTGCTGGCTGTGGGGCGTTCGCGGGCCGCCGCGGGGCCTCCCCCAGACCCGCCGCGGCCCGGCGCGGCCCGGCCCGGCCCGGCCGAGAGCGTGAGTAAGCGGCGAGGGAGGCCCGGGGGGGGGGGCAGCGGGCTGCGGGAAGGGGGGGAGCTGGAGGCGGCCCGGTGCCCTGCCCCGCTCGGGCCCGCGGTGGCCCCGCTGACTTACTGGTGGTCGCGACGGCCTGCTGCGGGTGAGTCGTGGTTTCCCGGGCCGCCGGAGGTGGGCTCGGGAGCGGAGCCTCTGCCGGCTGCAGACCGGGGCGGGGCAGGGTAAGCTGGGGTGGCCCCTTCCCACTGCGGCCCATTCCCCGTGGCCGGGTGCTGCCCGGCGCGGTTCTGCGGCTTCTTGAGGCGTTCTTCGGGCCTTGTACGTATAAGGAAGCGGCTGGGAACCTGTGAGCGCGCGGTCCCTGGGCCCGTACGAGCTGAAAGAGACTCTCTTGCCCAGGGAGGCGGCCAGCCCGGGCGGCTTCCAGCCGTCAGCAGTGCCCCCCAGTTCGGCGTAACGCGAAGAATCGCTTTGCCGCTTCCTTTCATGTTGCACGTAGCCGTGGCATCCACAGGAATGTGCGTTTCTAACCCATGGGGGAGTAACTCTTTTGGGTTCAAGTATCTCGTTCATCAGTTGAACTAGTGCTCCTTGCTGGTTTGAAGGGCTTTGTGCAGGAAATGAAGTTACTAACAAAACCATAGGGTTTCAGTTTCAGACAGTATTTTGAACTCGTGTAGCTGAAATTTGCATGGTTTTGGTGGCTGTGTTGTGCTCCTTGTATGAGCTTCTGAAGAATAAATCTTGATCCTGGAACTAGGATGGGCTTTTTCCCAGATAAATGAAGAATAAAAACTTATGCTCTGATACTTTACTTTGTTTGTCTCTTAGGTTAAAAAAATAAACAGTTGACGTTCTCTTTATGCAACTGGTCGTCAGTCAAGTGTAACTTTTGATATATGGTCTCTAAAGCCCCCCACTATGCCAGCAGCTACCGTAGACCATAGCCAAAGAATCTGTGAAGTTTGGGCTTGTAACTTAGATGAAGAGATGAAGAAAATTCGTCAAGTTATACGGAAGTATAACTATGTAGCTATGGTAAGTGGGCATTTGATGTTTTTCTAGCAAATTACCATGATAAACATAATGCCTTCATTTGATGTTAGTAAATTAAAGCTATGGGCTTGTTCATTCATTTTAACTGAAAGAATAGTGAAATCTTAAGGTTGAATTAATGCTGTACAAATGTTAGGATCCTGATTATTACCTTTTTGAAAGCTAAATGTACAGTAATCTTTAACTATGAGAGATAAGATGCTTGAGATGTAAGAATGAGCAACATGTATTTTTATGGGTGCCTTTTGTTGAAGTTTTAATTCTGTTCTTGCAGGATACAGAATTTCCAGGAGTAGTTGCAAGACCTATTGGAGAATTCAGAAGCAATGCAGACTATCAGTACCAGTTATTACGCTGCAATGTAGACTTGCTGAAAATAATTCAACTAGGACTGACTTTTATGAACGAGCAAGGAGAATACCCTCCAGGAACATCAACTTGGCAATTTAATTTTAAATTTAATTTAACGTAAGTCTTAAACGTCTGTGATGGTGAATGTGTGTTTCTGACTTAAGATGTGTTCTAGGTTGTGAAACCTGTAGCAATTCTTTTTATCTGAATAATTGGAATGCTACAGATACTTTATGTATCTATACATATATATATATAGGAAAAATTTTGTCAGCCACATACATGCTTTCTTTCCTCACTTCTGTACAGCCTGCCTTACTGTTAGTGATTTGGTCAAAAAGTTTCAAAAAGAGGCATTTATAGGTGGTGCAAGAGTTAGCTTAGTGTTTTCATATTTGGCATTTCAAAGTACTTCTACCTTAGTTTAACTGTGACTAGTTATTACAGAAGTCACATTATTTCTTTGTGTATTTTTAAATGGAAAATGCCAATGTGAAAAAAAAGTAATGTTACTGAAGTGACTAAAAAGGAGCATGACAAATATCAGCAAGTTCTAAAGCAAGTGTGATGTGCTCTTTAACACTATTCTTAAGAGACTCACAATAAGTTCTAGATAATATGCTGGTAAATTACGTTCAGTTTTTTAATACTGCAGCAGTTTCTCTTGTGTTTTTTCTAAACTGTGTACTCTGAGCTACTGTATTTTAATCTTCTTATATAGCATAGTATTGTTTAGATTGGAAAGGACCTTTAAGATCATTGAGTCCAGCCGTTAACCTAGTACCATGCCCCTAAGTGCCACATCTACAGTCTTGGGTCTTGTCAATACCTTCAGGGATGGTGACTCCACCAGTTTTCCTGGACAGCCTGTTCTAATGCTTGACAATCCTTTTGGTGAAGAATGGATTGCTGATTCTGCAGCATAACTCCTGTGAAGATTTTTGTTCTATATTATTTCTGTAAAATGTTGGTTAATTTTTTATTTTTTTATTTTTTTTTTAATGATCTGTTGGGGTAGTATTGTGAACTTTATTTCCCAATGTGATTTTCATCAGTGATACATCTTTAAGTATAAACCTGATTTTTCCAGTGGGGACTCCACAGATGCTTTTGTGGAGTTCTGATTATATCTTTAGCAAGTAGTTGAGACAGAGTTACACAATATCTTGAGTTTTTTCCTGAAGTAAACATAATTGGTCTGATAAATTTTCATATCGCCTGAGTTGAGTATCAGTGCAAACACTACTTAGACTTAAGCATGTTGAAGGCTTTTGGCAGTTTACAAGCTGATCACAGGACAAGATGATGTACATGAGTTAAAACTGCAGCCTAAAGGAGCTTTAGAGAGCAGACCTTTTTTTCTTCTGCAGATAAAAAGAAGTGTTTTCGAAGTAATCAGGCTTCTTAAAAAGAAAAAAGTCTGCTTTCTCTTCTCTGCAAGAGAACGATCTCTTGATCTTTCTGCTTTTCTAAACTATTAGTGCTGTGTCTTGTCACTAGTCAGTTTGGGCTGAGGAAATACATGATTTTTTAAAAAAAGTTTTGTCTGAAGCACCTCTTAAAAGAATTGAGAGTGCAGATTTGTTATTTTGGTATCTCTAAACTTACCTGGCTGTATAAATGCTGGACAGGTTTCTGTTTTCTTAATAGAAGAATGTACTAATCTGGCTAAATATGGGAGGAGGAGAAATGAATTAGTACCTTCCAAACTGTGATCTGGGAAGAGAAGCCTGTGTTATGGTTGGTTTGTTTTTTTTACTTCAAAGGTCCACTTAATGTCAAGAAACTGAAAATAAAAGTAGTTTTCCATCCACTTGTGCCAGATACTGGACAGCTTAGTAAGGCAAGATAGGCAGTCACCTAACAAATTAGTTAGTAGTTCACTTGGGGGATTTTGTACAAAATGTGAGCTAGGTAAGTGCTGCATAAAGCACGAGGTTATTTTCTTGTGCATGGTTGGAGAAACCTCTTTTATGTTTTTCTAAACTTCTTTTTGGGAAGTGGCCTTGTGCCAAGTGTTCTGCTCCTGAAGCAAAACAGCTGTTGGCTGTTCCTGGAAGGTAATTTTTTTTTTTGTGTTGTTCCAGCCAGGTCTTGTTATAGTGTGCTTTTAAAGAGCATAAATATTTCTCTAAACTAACTATCCACCTGATGAGTGCAGAGCAACAAACTAGAATTGAAACAAGTTCTTTTAAAATAGGCATGTTTGTTTTGGATGGGTTCTTTAATGTGTTATGGAGATGGACAGATGCTGGGAAAATGATGCCTTAAAGCTGGAAAACTAATGAACAGCTGTGTAGGAGGGAGGGGAAAAAAGACACAACACATCTCGCGAATGTATCTCTATGTTCTGATGAATGATGACCTGCTGTTAGGAATAAGGGGTATGAGTCTATGACTAAATCTAGTTTGATATATTGGTTGTCGTATCTGTTTTATTTTTTGTGGCTTGTTTTGGTTGTGTTTATTTTTTATTAAAATTGAAAACTATACACTGAAGAAAGTTTGTAGAATAGTATGTTGCTGACAGTAATATGAATATCATCTTCTAGGTAGATTAAACTTTAGGGGAAAAAAAACCCCCAAACATTGATTTCATCGCAAAATCCGTAAGACTTTACAAAAATGTTAATAGTAAAGGGAATGAATAGAGGGGTATGAGAGGATCAGACAAGGCATAGAGGAATCTTTTTCTAGCCTGTGAAATTTTAGGTCCAAAATATGGCTGTTAGAAGATGGTCTTTAGAAAGAAAATGTTAGGCTACCTGAATTTTAAGGGTTGACTAGGTGGAACAAAGACTTAATTTCTGGTTGTAGTGAGAAGGAAGTTTTGAGCGTGTGTCTAAAACTTCACGTACACTTATATCACAAGAATGTGTGAAAAATATTATTCACAGAACTAGTGCAGCACTGGGATCTGGAGTATACTATTCCTAGTTCTGTAGTGCAGGGCATTAGTGCATCAGCTGTTATGTTCAGTTTGTCACAGTTGCAGCAATAGATATTATTCATTAAAATATCTGTATTCATACATTAACTTTCCTTAGGTTTGCTAAAAGGGGAGTTTTGGGTAACTGGGAGAGGAGCAGGAACTAGTTTTTTTGTGAAGGAGGAGAGAATGGAGATGCTGGGAATGGTGAAATGCTGGTGAAGGTTCATAAAAGCTATGGAAATGGTTTGTTTTGAAATTAACATGGAAAAAAAATCAAGTTGTTCCCTCTCTATGCAGCGAAGTCT